CAGTTTGCACACGTTTTGAACGGCGTGCTGGTGTTTGTTGTGTCACACTTGGCCGCGGTACATTCCATTGGCGCAACAAATCATTGCTCATTCTTTGTAATCGAACAACTGGCTGATTGTTCGCTAGGTTTGAAACCTATAGAGACAAAGGAAAATAAAAAAAATTGCATTAATATAATGTATACAATTATACATATTGGAAATTTAATTTAAAAAAAATGAAAATGAATTTTTTTTACCGAATTAGATGGCTGTGTAGTCCGTCTTATTTTAGCCGCTAATGGTTCATCGTCACTACTATCTTGTGGCTGAGAAGAACGAGCGACAGACGGTACAGTTTGTACACGTTTTGAACGGCGTGCTGGTGTTTGTTGTGTCACATTTGGCCGCGGTACATTCCATTGCCGTAACAAATCTCTGCTCATCCTTTCCAATCGAACAACTGGTTGATTGTTCGCTAGGTTTGAAACCTATAGAGACAGGGGAAAAATAAAAAAATTGCATTAATACAATGTACACATCAATAAAATATGCTGTTGAATAAATGACAACAATAATTGTACAAGTGAAAAAAAATTCAAATGTACTTACCACATTTCCGCGCTCCACCCCACATTCCTCGTCTCCATCATCGTCGTCACCACTTGATGTGTCGGACATATTGGGCCTGACAATGAATCAATATTGAAAACAAAAAAAAAATCGAAAAAAAATTCAATTGTATCGAAGCAGGCCATAAGCACAATATTGAGAAACTACGACGCATTGCTAATGCCCTAACGGTTTTGCATTCTGTATTGTGCGCAATGTCAAATTCATGTTTGAACATGAATTTGTTCAATGGAACTTGCACACTTGCTTCGTCGGCTAAGATTTACGGTTAAATTGATTTTTTATCCACGTGCAGTGTGCAAAATTGACAAAATTTATTTTCTTGATTTTATTTTTCCAAAACACTCACTAAAACAAATGATGCAAAATTTATTTAGCCGACAAATATTCATTTGACATCATTTTATATACAATATATAAATATATTTTACACATCAAATATTTACCGGTATTGAGGTATTTATATGAATTTGTTTTTTATTTCGTCACTTTTCTTTTCAAATTTTCACTTGGAAAAATGTCTCGGTTGAGTTCGTGTTGTAATTTAAAATGTACCAAGTACAAACACACTATTTTCTTAGAATAAATGAATTTTTATTACGCACAAAAATCGGCTACTGCGCGCATTACTTTTGTATGCCATATGAAAATTGAAAAACTTAGTTATGAAATGTGCTGTTGCTTCAAACGTCAAAACTGAACTAAACGGTGTGGCATCGCTTATTGTTGAAGGCGATTTGTGTTTGTGATGTCAACGCAGTGGCCAAACATAATATGTATTCAAATCTACTCACCACAATGTGCTAAGTAATCTCTCCCTTTCTTTGGCTCGCTATCTCTGTTGATCGTGTGCTGAGCCATGTTGTCGATGCAACGTTTATGCGATTGTGTGTATCCAACGATGATTCCTTCGTTGCTCTGCTCTGCCACTACTACTACTACCAAATCTCAATTTTTGTGAGCAAAGTGTTTGCTAACGCAGCTTCATTCAATTCATTTGCAAATTGTTTTTAATTTATGTGTGTATATGTGTGATCAAACCCTTACTACTTTCTTACATACTAAATAGATATTGATATTGTGATTTTTTGAAATGGATGTAATGGGTGTAATGGAAAAATAATCGAAAGAATGGATAGCATTCTTCAATAATGGAATAGTAATTTTTAAAGTAAGTATACCCTGAAATGTGCTCTTAAATTCTTAACTTTAGCGCCGCATAAGACGCATTCCCCTTGATTACGATTGCATGTAGATTTAATGCGGTTAATTATTTCGCCATTTTCTTTCGAAGGATTGCATTTGGAAATGTGTCGGGTAAAATCTCGATTAGTAAACACAACCGTTTCACAAAACGAACAAATCAACTTCTTCGAACCATCGCTATGCTTACGAATGTGTTCACGCATTGATAAACTATTTCGGGAAAACTGTGCCGGGCAAAAAGTGCATCGATATGGTTTTTCTTCCGTATGCGTTTTCATATGTGCTTCAAGATTTAACACCTGTTTGCAACAAATGGTACATTTATCAGTTGGTCGATTTTCTGTATGTATAGCCAGATGGCGAACTAAATTCGATTTTTTGTTAAATTTCGCAGAACAAACAATGCAAGAAAAATCTTTTTGAATACTTATTTGTGATAGTAATTGTTGCTTTCGCTTTTTAAATGTTGAGCTTTTGGATTCTGTTTCCGTCTTCTTTGACTTAATTTTATTTATTTCTTTTTTATGCTCTAAATTCAATGTGTGATTTTGCTGAGTTGCTTGATGTACTTGTACATCGTTTTCTATTTCCGATTCGACTGAATTTCGGTTTTGATCAATATCATGCTCAGAAGTGTGTGTTTCCAAATCATATCCATTATTGAATTCCAATTTACAATTTCTACAACAGTAAACAAACACATTGCGTTCGTCTTTACACACATATCCATAAATTTTTCGAGTATCAAAGCACATATTTTAAAAATCCTGATTAGTAAACATTTGATTCTTTCAATAAAAGCCACATTAACTAATTTTTGTTTACTTGTCATTTATTGAAATCAGTTCAGTGGATAATATACCTATATGAATTACATAACCTCAATAAAAAAGTATTTCTCTCATTTGTACCAATCAGCTGTCAAGTAAACAAAAATTGTCAATAAATGTTTTGATTTTACTTAACAAATAAAATATTTAGAACACAGGAGTCTAATTTTTCATTAATCATTTTTTATTTGTAATATGCTTAGATTTAGGTAAATTAGCTATTTTCTGTCGCACACAGTGTAGTAGAAAAAAACGTCATGGAATTTTTATTATTTGTATTGACATGTTTGAATGTTCGATGAGGTCATAAATATTACTGTTCCTTAATTGGAATGTTATTGGCAGTTGTTGGGCTATGATATCTTTTCATATGAGTTCGTTTGTAACTAAAACAAACATGCTTGTTACAAACTTCACATAGCCACTTTTTCTTTTCTTTTTTTCCGGTTTCTTCAACGGGGTTGCCAGATGCTGTTGTTTCATCCATATGATGATTTGGTTGAATTTCATCAGTAACAGCAAATGTTTGCTGGGTGGATTGCGTTGGTTCTTCTTCATTTGTTAGCTCCTTCGCTACACATATGTCATGGTTAATTGGATAGTCTTCAACTATGATAGGGGGCCATTTCGATGATGTTGTATGATCAGCTGGCGGAGGCATTTGGTTCATTGATTGCGACACATTGATGGTCCCATCTTTCAGTCTGCACTGTGAATGCATGTCTTGTGTTTCAGTCAATAACTCATTGGATGATACATCACTTTCAGGCTCTTTATAAGTTGTGAGACCAGTGATAACTGCATCAGTTGAACTGGATGCTTCTTCAACCTTTGTATCGTTAGATTCAAACTCATTCATTTTAATAATGGTTTTAACCGCTAAAGGTTTTTTTGTTGGTGTTCTTGTTTGGGCCGCGCTGTTGGCTGAGGAATTTTTCTTGTTTCCTTGTTTGTGTTGACGTAAATGCATTTTCAAATTTTTTACATTCTTACCTAAGAGTTGATCAGAAGAAAAGAATGGAAAAAATGGAAATTAATCAATAAGTAATGGAACAGAATGGAAAATGAATCGAAGGAATGAATCAGGAATGGTAGAGTAATGGAATAGTAATTTTTAAGTAAGTATGCCTCGTTCTTACCACAAACGCTGCACGGAAAAACAGGTGAATTGGAGCTATTCTGAATGTGAATTTTTGAATGCTGATCGCATTCGAGTTGTGTTTGAAACTTTTGACCACAAAGATAGCATACCTAAAGTTACCAAAAATATAATATGAAAAAATTATTGGAAAATATATCGCCTTAAAAAACAAGGAATACACACCGGTGGTGGTGATTGTTTTTTCACAACTTTTTTCATTTCTTTGTTCATGAGTTTTTGTCTTTTGTTCACCAAGTTTTTCTTGGATGCCGGACCTGGTCGCTTGGATGGCTCTTTTACGGTCTCGCATTGTGTGTCGCCAAATTTTACAACAATATTCTCCTTATCGTTATTCTTTTCAGCACTTATGACTGATGTATTCAAATCCATATTAATGTCATCATTATCAAAACGGAATATTTGCACACTGCACGGTGTAACCTTAAATTTAAATCATGATTGAAATGAAAGGTTTATTTAGAAATATTCATTTGTAATATTTACCTGATATTTCATCTTCAATTGTTTTTCCCTCTCGATATCGCTTAACACAATATTCAACGGGATATCAGCTTCACTGATTGCATCTGTGTCGTTGTTCTCTTCGTTTGAATGAATACTATCGACCATTTCATGCATTACCATGTGATTTTCCAAGTCTTGAGCTGTTGTGAATTCAACATCACAATCACTGCAACAGTAAGCCACATTCTGGTCATTTTTACATAAATAACCAAGAATTTTTCTGCTGTACTTATCAATGGCTATTAAAACCATCTTTTTTGTCGTCGCTAGAACTTTTCGAAATTGAACCAAGTTATTGTTTTTATTTTAAATCTATCGTGCATACAAAATCACAGTAAGTTATGTGCACACAAATATATAGCAATGGTTGTCGATTCATTTTTGACAGATGATGTGTGGGTATGTTTGATACGTTTGTATTGTCTTATACAATATACAATTATACATTCACTTGGATTGTGTTATACAATTCAAATTCAAATACTCGAATACAAACTGAAATGTGTAAACTGAAAAAAAAATATTTTTTTTTATTTCAATAAAATTCAATTGGTTCATCACTTTCAATAATTGGAATTTTATTTTGTATTTTTTTTATTTGAAAAGGAATAATTAATATTTAAAATAATGGATATATGAATAGTGGACGCGTCGACTTTATAGTCTTCGAAATTGAACACAATTTGTTTTTGATATGAAAACGCCATTTGGCAATGACACTTCGTCTGTATGATAAACAAAATAAGAAAATATAAAGATATGCACATTAGTCGCAAATATTGTATGTTTTGTTCAGAAAAAATATGAAATTTCACATGTGTTGTTTGATGAGTTTCCAAATCTAAAAGATGAAGTAAGTATTTAGTAAGTAATTAGTTTATTTTATTCTGTTAACAGAAAACAATTGTTTTTATAAAAATACATTTTCAGACCATCAGTTACTGCATTTTTACATAACCAAAATGTCATCCCTATATGGCCAATCAGTCCATTTTTTACCCTCAGCATACCCCCAAAGGTTTTTTCGAAATGTTCACTTCTTAATAGTGGCCCTGATTCGTGAGACACCCTGTATACAAAATAGAAAGTATGTACACTGCTCAAAAACAATACCAGCCTATTCCTCGCCCTATCACCATGTAAAGTCAATAACCGTTTTAAATAATGTTAGACCATTATGTCCGACATCAATAACTGTCTTAAATGGTGTTAGACCATGTTTGCCGATCAAAACGGATACCTTAAACCATTTACCACGGTCCATCATGGTAGGCCATCACAGTTAACACGATCCATTCTCATCTTTTGGCAACAAAAACTATAAAATCCAGGCAAAATAACAGTAAAAATACGAGTTTTTGACCATAATGACCGTTTTAGACCATGATGGTCGACCATGATAGTACCTATGTTCACAGCCGGGCCTTGACCTTTCCAACGGTACCATTTTTATCCAGATCGGTTGGGGCATTTGGCCGCCAATCCCGAACATACATACATACTTTCTGATTTATATATATAGATAGATAGATAGATAGAAGATAGAAAATATATAAATAGAAGAAGAAGATAGGAGATAGAAGATATTAGAAGAAGAAGATGAAAGAAATCGCCAGCGTTTGAAATGATTACGGAAAGGCGAATAAGACTGACCGGTGTAGTTGACTTTTCAGTTCGTTGTATTTCAACTGGGAATCCATCCGGATCGGTTATGTTGCTAATTGAACTTGGTGGTGAGCTCATAATTATATAATAATAACTTTCATAATTGGGAAATTTAATTTTTATTTCGTCCAAATTAGACAGAAGTGTTCACCTGTACACAGGCCAATTCACAACATATCGAAAATCGAAATGTGATAGTTAGTCAAGCTATTCGACATTACAAAGACAGATTAAATATGATATTTATGTAGGCAATACGGTAGCTAGTTTGAATGAGTTTGGACTTTTGAAAAGAGCTTGCTAAGATCGAAAAAATTGTCAAGTAAGCATCGGAACCATTTCCATAAACATTTTTATTCGAGTTTTTATTTTAACAAATGTAATTTTTACTTTTCCAGTGATCATATTGGATATAAAATATATTTGCATACTGATATATTTGGATATGAAGAATTGATTCACCGGCTAGCACAGAATGGCATCAAAATTAAATTAAACAAACTACAGAAAATTTTATTTGAACAAAACGGACATTCTGATCTTTTTAAATTTGATGTGTGATTTCACAGTGGTTTTGCCTACGATCCTGGTGAGTAAACATGGTCGGTAAAGTTTGTATTTTTGAATTAATATTTAATAATAACTATATATTCTATGACATATTTTAAAGCATCTATTAATTTTCTTTATATATTTTTAATAATATTTGCAGCAATAAAATCAATTATAAAGATGTGAGCTCAAAATCCAATCCTGTGCAGTCCGATGAGATTGAGATATATAAATATGATGATGGTGACGAAGACGACGATCCAAAACTATTTATAGAATCGAGCTCTGAAAATGCTAATAAGGATGATGATACTGATTACAGCGAAGTATTCTCCGATTAAAAGACTCATTCATTCCAATATCTTTCCAAAGTTCAAAAATATAAACTTTTCAAAATAAATGCATATTTTTAAATAAAAAGAATTTCTTTTTTCAACAAAATATATATTTCAACGCTCAAATCAATTATTTTTATTACGTAACTTAGTGAGAAAATCGATTAAAAAATCAATGCGACTCCGTATCTGTCCCGGAGTTTTATTCGGAAAGTCATTGGCAAATCCTGCAATGTTTCCTGTGTTTGAATCGATACCGGCCTTTATTTGTTCCAGCAGTAGTCGATCTTCATCGCGTGTCCATTGAATCTCTGCGGGCTGTAAACTTGTTTTCACCATGTTAGCATCGAGTTGACATTTCGTCTCACTTCTCTTCCCAAATTCCTCAACAGTATCCTCATCATCATCTGAGTCATAGTATTCGTGTGCACGTTTTTGTTTTTTGATTGGTTTAGAAAGCATATGACTTTTTTGTGATTTTGTTTTAGTTATTATATCATCTGTTGTGATCGATTGACTGGAACAGGCGACAGGTTCACTTGTGTCTAGAATACGTTTTAATTTTTTGGCAGTTTGGATAGCATTTGACTCTTGAATTGTTTGAAACGAGCAATTGGTTTGTTGATTTACCGATAATATTGGAGACGTCGTTTTCTTATTATTGGGTGACTTACATGCAGCCATCGTCATTTTTTTTGTATTTGGGGAAGTGGATTTACGAACATGTGATGGTTTTGCGTGGATATTTGTTGAACATTTGACAACAGATTGTTTTTTCGGGGACAACTTTAGGTCTTTATTTGTATTCTCCGCTGACAATCTAAAGAAATTATTAGAAAATATAAAAATTAAAAAAAAAAAACGTTTACCTTTCAAATAAAATATATGAAAATTAAACTAACTGTTCTAGTGGTTTGAGCTTATTCAGGATATCAGCATTTGACTGATTTAACGATGTACTGTGTAATGATGGATTCAATCTTATAGAATGCGCTCTTAACAAAGTGTTATCACAAAGAATGTTATCGCTAACGCTGGTTGTATTTGCAACAATTAAATCTTCTTCAATAGAATTTCGTTCGTCATTCCTTTCGACTGGTATTGGGAAATGTTGTTCTTCATCACTGTTGTCAATTTCTTCAGGTGTTCCGTTGCCGCCGATATGATCAAGTTCCGATTGATGTCTGTCACGCATTTTGCTATCTGCAAACAGCGTATTATGTACACAACGATACTGAAAACTCTTGTCTATGCTATCCATATGTTTATCTACAGTATCAAATGGATCAACTGTCGCTGAAGTGCATGGTAGCACACCAAAAGATAATTTAGCTGGAAGAGGAAATCTAGAACCATAGAATAATCTGCCATTCATATAGCGTATGTGACATGGATTATCATTCGGATCTGGAACAATTTCGCTTTGTGGAATATATTCAAATTGATCATCGTCAAATGACTCGTTTCCTTTGCGCAGTATCAATGTCTCATATTCATCTTTAGTATTATCGCATTTATCCGGACTAACACATTGCAAAAACCAATCTATCAGTAATTGATTCCCTTTTAGTAGTGGTAAAACTCTTGATCGTAATCGATCAAATGTCACATCTGGATCTTCACTTAACTCCTTCAAACATGTAAGTATTTTTCGGATCTATAAAATACAAAAATAATGAAAATAAATCAAAGTCTAATACGAATGTGTTTGCTGAAACATTACCTGTGCTGGTTGCTTTTGATAAAAAATATTCAATTTGTTAAGGAATTTCGTCAAATTTAATTTTAAAAAGTACTCCATCGATTTATTAATTTCGACCGCGTCGCTGGGTGATAAAAAGTTCAAAAACAAATCGATGATTTCTGGATAATCCGGCAAGAGAAATTTCTCCAAAATCTATGAACATTCAGTATAGTTGAACAAATTTAATTTCAAATTTTAAAAATGTCATTGTATTACCATATATAGATCCGCACCAGACTGATGCTGTTGGTTTTCGCTGAATTTTCGTAAAATAGCAAGAAATTCAACGAACTTGTGATGCTTGTTTTCATTAATGAATATCTCTTCTACGCGTTCTATAAATCTCTGTGCAAACACTGATGAAAATATGTTATATGAGTTTGAATTATTCCAAATAAAAAATTAACGTTTGAAATTGAGTACTTACAAAAATCTTTCTCCGAAGATTCTTGGGCATTTTCAGCAAGAAGTAATAATCGAGTGCTATCGCTTGTACGTTGATTTTTGGGCAAGCGTTTTGCACTACCATCGCTTTGGTGTTGTTGGCCGATATGTGCATTATTTTCTTCAGTTATTTCTCTGACATTGTCATTTAATATTTTTTGAACACGTCGATTTGTAACCAATGCTTCTATTGACATGTTGGATGAAATTTGTGGAATTTGATGTTTGACACAATTTACAAATTCAGTCGTATATCGATAAAATGTGATTACGCAACGATATGCAAGTGATACATTCCTATTCTGCCGAAATCGATGCCAATGTGTTGAGTAAAATTTACGCAATTTTTGTGCAATACAAACTAAAAATGCGGTTGTCTTTTGTCGCATAAAATATTTACGTGTTCTCAATTTCCTATACTTTTTATTAATTTGTTTGCTATGCAGATGTAGATATTTTCTATCAGTTTTTTTGTCTTTTTCTGTTTCCGTTAAAATTATCAAATCCTCAGCATCAACTTTTTTTCGATGAATTGGATGAAAATATTTCGTTAACAAAGTTTGACCATCACCATTAATATTATATTTTTGTCCACAATAGTTTTCAGATTGTTGACCGTTATTACTCGTATTGCAATTGTCATAAATTATTTTTATATGAATTAAAGTCCCATTGACATCAAGCTTGCTATCATCTTGAAGTATTTGTGATGAAAAATCAGATGTTTTGGTTTTCTTCGGAATCAATGGTTGATGTTTTTTCTCACTTATTTCTTGGTTCACTTTACACGTGAGATCACTATTGTCATTTAATATTTCGTCGTATGCAAAGCCAATCAACTGAAAAACACAAAAGATGTAAATAATTAGTATTTTCCATAAAAGTTTGCTTTTTTTTTAAAACAAGTCTTCGATGTCTTATATTCACATGAATTTTTCTTTGTTGACGCTATTAAATGTCAGACAATATTAAACGTCAAAGTAGATTTTTAGAAGTTTCCACATTTTGGAGACTTCACACCGTTTTTATGAAATGGTTTTGCCAATTATTTCAAATAAATATTTGATAAATTTGTTGTTAATAAAAAATGTTTGTGATTGAAATTCAAACCTTTTCTGCGTATTTTGACCATTGTGCTGTCAGTTTCTTTAATGGTTGCTTGGCTGGTTCAGTTACAAATTCCGGATTAAATGTTTCTCCATGAGATATCGGACTGATTTTTTCGTAAATTATTCGAATAGGTGGAGCTCGTTTATGACTGAAATAAAACTAACAAGGAACGATATATGATTGAAATTTCGATGGAAATTGTGTTTATACATACCTTAATTGGATTGATTATTTCATTTTTTCGCCTGAATCGAATATAATCATAAATCGATTTCCAATGGCGCAAATAGTTCAAGTGTGCTGATATATGCTTGCAAACATTGTTTAATTTGACCTCTTTGGGTTTAGAGAACTTATAATTTATGCTTTTCCATTGGAGCTCTCCAAAAAAGTGTTCTAGAAGAAATGCGAGCAAGCTAAAAGAAGGATTTGTTTTAAATGGGAAAATTCATAGTTCATGCGTAAAGTTGTCAATCTTACTAATCTTCAGCGGGAAAGTATTCAGATGATTTGGCTGTTTTGAAACGAAATGGGATTGCTGGCAACAAATGAGGATAGATAAATACTTTACTTTCACTAATTATAGACAAAATTCGCTCATGAAATTGCATTGTATAACTTAAGTTTTTTCGCAGCTTGTTCATTTCATTTTGTAAGTATGTAACCAATTCGGTATTTTCTTTTGTATTTTGTGACAACTCCGTTTCCCATTTAGTAATTAATTCAACTGCTGGTTTCAAGTTGTATATAGATATTGTGCCAGCATTTTCTTTGTCAACGATATTTATAAGATCATCCTACAAAAGCAAACGATCCATCAAAAAAAAAGCTTAAGTTTACATAATATGTGAGCATAACTAACCAGATATTGTTTGATTTTGGGAGCTTCCGGATAGAATTCCGGATGGCCATATGTTTGTATATAACTTTGTGTTGCCAGTTGAACATGCATTCGGAGTTGTTCTTCCAAAGTTAAACGCTGTTGAAATGTAAATCCCCTCTCATCTGTTCCAGAGAAATGCTAACAAAATAATAATATATACTACATTACAGAAAATAATAATATAAAATATATATTCATTTTAAACTAACTGGTGGTTCAATTGAATTCGGGTCGAAATTTTCGAGTTCTTTGTATGTTGCACTTTTAAAACGCGATCTTTTTGATCGACATCCAGGTCTCTTTGGTGTTGGCCCACATTCGATTTGTGTTTTCAAACTATTACCAATTTTGTCTGATTCAGTGGATGATATCACAGATGACGACATTGTAAATATTGAGGTCGACTCATATGGTGTTGTAATCAAATTTGAGTTGTATGGTAAAGTAAAGTTATTAGATGCCACGTTGGAATTGGCGAGAAATGTCATGACGGGCGAATTTTCTGGCACTGGTGTAAATGTATAAGCATTGGGATATGGATATGGATATGTACATTGAACTGGCGATTCGTTAACCGAAAGTAAACTACTATTAAATGAATCAACTGATTGTTGTTGTGTTTGATGAATAAAATTTGGTCTTGCTGGCGTTGATATTATATTTGGTTCAAAGTGACTCATCGGGGGATTTGAAGGTATTGGCGCTTGAATGGTTGCTTGTGATTCTGTTTGTGATTGAATTTTCTCACATTCAGGAGTATTCAATTGTTCGGTAATGTGTTTCACCGGCGTAATCAAGCTTTGCGATATGTCCTCTTGCACAATTGGTGCTTGTTTCGATGTATTAAAATCAGGTTCAAATGGATTAAACTCAGTATAATTCAATAAAGTCAATTCATTTATATCTAAGATGTCATACATATCATGATATAAATCTTTCATTTCCTTTTTAGATACATTCACTTGTTGAAATTCATCTCGATCGTCTATGTTCAAATAATAAAAGTTCGACCAATGGTTAAGTAAAGTTCAGTCAGTGAAAAAATTAGAATATATGTGATATACCTTGACTATCAACAATCATAGGATTATAATCTGGATCTGTCTCTTCGTCCCGTATTTCCGTTTCCGAACCTAAAAATCATCAATATTCAATGTATTCTCCGATTAATATTTCATTTAAATTCTAGGAACTTACTTGGACACGCGAATGTATTCAAAAATTCCATCCAATATGGATCATCTTCATCTGGCTCAGTTTGATACATATCCTGAGGAACATCTGGAGCTCTGAATGTTGATTCTATTGCTTCGATTGGTGTTTCAGCTAGGCTAATCTTTGATCGCGTTCTTTGTGCAATGATGTATTCCTGTTCTGTCTGTAATAATGTGTCTGTGCTGTCATTTCGGGCTCGTGGAATCTTGAAGAGACCATCGGTTGAGTAAACCGTTCTAGGTTCTTCATATGCATCTATTTGGCTTGATGGTGTTGCGGGTTGAGAATCAATGTCAGAGGCTGTCGTGTTTATCTCGTCATCGGACTACATAGTTGAAGTAAAACAAATTATTGGCAAATATCAAACAATAAATGCAAGAAACCTGTACCTCACTTTCATCCTCTCCGGGCTCATATTCTTCATCGTCTTCGTCTGAATGTAAATCTTCGTGGATTAAGGCTAAAACTTCGGAATCTGGTTGAGAATGTTTGAGTGGAGCAACAGGTAGGGGATATTTATTAAGGGCTTTTGCTTTGGCACGTGTTAGCTTTGGTACTGCATTTTCAAAATCATCGTATTCATCCTTCGCAGATACATTAGAAACTTCATCGCCTGCTGTCAATAGTTTTGGTTTTTTCATTGCCTGTTCATGTCTCTCCATTTGTTCTTCCTTCAATTTAACGATCGCTAAAACATGATCATTTCGAACAACTTTCTATAAAATGAAAAATGAAGCTAATTAGAAGTAATACGAATAAAAAAAGAACGTATTGTAGTATACCTGAAGTATATTTCTCACGTTTTGTGGCGTTAGATTATTTCTCATGGCACTCTGTTTTAATTTGGCGTCGATTGATGTATCAAAATCTTCTTCTTCATCGTCAGTTGAAGAGTGTCGTCTGAAATTAAAGCATGTGACATAAGAAATATGAAAAGATAAACGAAGATATGAATGTTTCCTATTTATTTTTTTAAACCAAACAATATTTTATGAGTGAGTTACCTTTTTCTTTTTCGCGAACTTTTATTTGATTTTAGCTTTTTACATTTATCCGGTGTATTTTCTTGGCGCCAACTAGTATTGGTGTTCGTATGGACGTCCATAGGTTTCAAATTTGATTCGCGTCCAGGAAACATGTTTATAAAATTGTTTCAAGTGAATATTTTCACTTTTGAGGCGATATTTTTATGAAAAAAACACTCATTTTTTTTACAAACAATATAAGAACCAATAATATCGTATTGAATTGTCAAGTAACTTGTTGTTATTGACACACAATGTATATATGAGAGACAGATGTCAAGATACTTGTGTACAACTAGTGACATCTTCTGGAGGCTTCAGAAAATGTATTTTTCTTCAATATCTGGATTGATTTAGCACTGAAAGTATTAACGAAGGATTTTTTTAGATGTATGGATCGAGACTTTTTTTTTAAATAATAGCATATTATAATGCTTTACTTGTGTCTATGCAAGCAACCATGGTTATTACAAGACTAGTAAACAGTAATCAATAATCATGTATTCTACAATTATTTTTGGTATATGATTGAATCAAATAATCTATAATTTGAATCCTGTCATCAATATTTAAGCAATAACTGGAACATAAGCCCGTATAAAAAATAATAAACTATAATTTGCAACTAAAACGGGCACTGAATGAAAATAACTATGTGAAATGACTATCAGTGCACATGCACGTGTACTAATACAACTACCATGAATAATTTATTATAGGTTCAAATTATGTTTGATTTCTGTAACCAAAAGTATACAGAGTCAAAATTGATGCATTTTCAGTCTTTCGTCGAATATCATTGAATGTAGATGGTTAAATGAAGATTTGAACCAATTCGATTACTTATAACGATGTTCGAATATTAAATGAGCTTCGAATCATTTTAATTACGAAAATACAATATTTGTTTTTAAAGTTTCTAAGAATTTAAAATGAAAATACAAAAAATATTTCTATTTTATTTATGTTCTATGACCATTGGACAAAATGTAGAAAAGCAAAATTTATCCATTGGTATAAAGATCGTTTATTATTCTTTTAAGACGCTTTATTATATATATATATTGAAATTTTCATTATGTATTACAGTAATTTTAGAAGAGCTTCAACAAGAGGACCTAAATGTGGAGTTTAATAATATTTTTTCCGAAATTGGTAACGCTGAGCATATTTCTTTCAGTGTTATTTACGTTCAAGTCGATCGAGATCAACTTAGTGACAGTTTTGACCGTTGTGAGTTGCGAGAAGTTTATATTTCATTTTTCTTGAAAATGATAAAAAAATATTAATAAATATTGCTTCTTTGTGACTAGTGTGCTCATTTTTATCATCTGGAGTGGTTGTATTAATTGATATAACTTGGTATCCAGTATGGCCTGAATTGAATAATTTTTTGCGCACTACAAATGTACCATATATTCATCTAGACGTTACAATCAAGCCATTTGCTCGTGCATTTTTCAAATTTATTGAATTCACCGATACACATGATTGTGCAATGATTTTTCAAAATGAAAAAGGTAACGTTGAATTTTTAACATTTACGTATATTATATACTATGTTATATACTTAATAAGTATTACTTATACATTTGCAGAACAATATGAAGGTATTTATGAGGTCCTTAATCAATATTCCATTCGTTCCATAACATTTGACGGACTTAATGAGACAACTGCTCAAAGGATACTAAAGATGCGGCCAATGCCGAGAAACTTTGTAGTTTTTGCTCGTCCCCGTGAAATGTCCATATTTTTCGAAAATGTAATGAGCGTTTATTCGTTTTCTTTTTTTTAAATTGTGTTTCATAGGTTTTCATTTCTTTTATAGGCTCTTAAGTTTAAAGTTATCGAACGCTTTAATCGTTGGCGTTTATTTTATTTGGACTTTGTTGATACAACCGCCGTTCAAGAGCTTGTAATGCAATATCCAGAACTTATTACTTTGACACCAAGTTTGGATATGTGCTGTAAATACATTTATTTGGATGTGAATGATAAGAATTGCTTATGTGATGGAAAAATAACGGTTAGTTTCGATATACAATTTTTTCATCGTTAAATATTATTTAAACATAGTCTTCTATGTCTTTTAAGATCTTGAACACTTTTATTCGCGAAGTCATCAATAAACTAGTAATGGTTTTTCGTGAAGATAATTTCAGATCATCCGTATTCGATTGTTCTGTGTTTATAAACCGAACGTCAGATTTAAGCACACAAACAAATCGTTTAGATTCAAACGAATTTGAAAATCGTTTGGTTGAAAAAGTAGCGCAATCTTCACTGTTAAAATTTTACAAAAATTCCTCATTTGATATAGAATTCTATTTGAATATTATGGTTTTCGGTCGAGACGGAAATGAAATACCATTTCCCATTGATGAATCTATTGTTCTCACAGAACTGGCTATGATTGATAATTCTGCCTTCAGTTCCACGCCGAACGTGTCACTCAAAGCACCACGTCGCTTTTTTCGGATTGGTGTGGCTGAGGTACAAAGAAATAATAACACAGAATTGAAAGATTTTTTTTATTAATAAAAAAATTATTTATTGATGATGGCGATTGAATGTTATTAGGCCATTCCGTGGTCTTACATTAAAATGGATTCAAAAACTGCGATGCCACTTCTAGATGAATTAGGCAATTATCAATGGGAAGGTTATTGTATCGATTTTGCAAAACGATTATCAGAAAAATTGGATTTTGATTATGTACTAGTTCCTCCGCGTTCTGGTCTATTTGGCGATAGAGTTCCGAATTTAAATAAAAAGTATAATGGAGAATGGGATGGATTGGTTGGAGACTTAATTACAGGGGTAAATTGATTTGAAATTGAGTCATTGTATTTGTAAATTATTATATTGTTTTGTTTTGCGTCAAGGAAATCGATTTGGCAGTCGCTCCAATGAAAATGACGGCTGAACGTGAAGAAGTAATCGATTTTGTTGCACCTTATTTTGAACAAACGGGCATTCTCATTGTTATTCGTAAACCTGTTCGACAAACATCGCTTTTCAAGTTTATGACAGTCTTGCGTGTTGAAGTCTGGTTGAGCATAGTCGGTGCCATAATTACAACCTCAATAATGCTTTGGATTTTGGATAGATATTCACCATACAGCGCCAAAAACAACAAAGACGCGTATCCCTATCCATGTCGGTAAGTTTCTTTGAAAACGAAAATAAAATAGTTTAAAATTATTACGTTTTAATACTCAATTTATTAAAATTATTCAGTGAATTTACATTTAAAGAAAGTTTGTGGTTTTCAATGACCAGTTTCACACCTCAGGTTTGTGTACAATTAAAAAAAAAAAAAACATATTCAATCGACATATGTCTCTTTATTGTTTTCAAGGGAGGTGGCGAAGCGCCCAAATCTCTTTCGTCTCGAACTCTAGTCGCGGCGTATTGGCTCTTTGTTGTCTTAATGCTTGCAACCTTCACCGCTAATCTGGCTGCCTTCTTGACCGTAAAGAATGATATTTTTAAATAAAATTTAAAACTATTTTATTTAAAAATAAACCAAAACTTAAAGGTAGAAAGAATGCAAACTCCTGTCCAAAGTTTGGATCAATTGGCAAGACAAAGTCGTATAAATTACACCGTGGTTGAAGGATCTGACACACATAAATACTTTATCAATATGAAATTTGCTGAGGATACTCTGTATCGTGTAAATATTTATTTATTTATTTGATCCTTTTTTGCATTGATTAATTTTATGGTTTTATATTTAATTTCAGACGTATGATTCTGCTGGCTAAATAGCAACTGGCCAGCAGAATCGTAAGTCGGTTTAATTTGAATATTTTAACATAATTCTTTAGATGTGGAAAGAGCTAACTCTGAACAGTACATCGGACCAAACTCAGTACAGAGTATGGGATTATCCGATTAAAGAGCAGTACGGACATATATTGCTTGCTATAAATTCTTCAAATCCCGTTTCGAATGCATCACAAGGATTTCAAAAAGTCAGGGAACATATTAATGCCGATTATGCATTCATTCATGATTCATCAGAAATCAAGTATGAAATATCGAAAAGTTGTGAATTGATTGAAGGTATAACTTAAAATGTAATGATGGTTTATTCAATATTTGACCCAACTTAATAATTTTTGATTGAAGTGGGAGAAGTTTTTGCAGAACAACCATACGCATTGGCTATTCAACAAGGGAGCCAGTTACAGGTTAAATCAAAAATTAGGAAATTTTGATCGATGAACCTTTAACTATCAGGAATATATATTTTTAGGATGAATTAAGTCGGGCAATATTAGAACTTCAGAAGGACCGATTCTTTGAGTCATTGACAGCAAAGTACTGGAATCACTCGTCCAAAGCTTCTGAATGTCCAAACAACGATGAAAGTGAGGGTATTACACTTGAATCTTTGGGAGGCGTTTTTATTGCAACGCTTTTTGGACTCTTACTGGCCATGATAACTTTAGTGATTGAAGTGATTTACTATAGAAGACGCGATGCCCGAGAGAATGCCGTTCAACCAGTTACTCCACCTCCGTCTTATGATGAACAAAACCTGAAAAGATCCTCAAAAAAATTTGGAAGAAATAATAATGAAAGCATGGTTACACTTGGAGGTGAAAAATTTATACCAGCTTCTCTTTCACAGCGTATTCCGTACATTCCCACTGCATACTCACGACGATCAGCTGAGGAAAATGAGTACATTGAATAATCACATCCACATGTATTTTAACATAGTTCAAATCATACATGGACACGGTCGGAAAGTTGCAGGGGTGCTTATAAAACGATTTAAAGAATCCGATCTTATACTCCCTGTGCACATGTATGATTCAAATATACGATACTTCACTTCTCTACACTATGAATATATCAGTTATTTTAAAAAAAATCAATTTTAATGATGACACATTTTTCTTTATTGTTTCACAAATAAATCTGGTTTGTTGTTTCAAATAATTCATATTTTTTTTTGTATCTCAACCTAATATCTTAACTCATATATATGTACTACACGGAAGTAACAAAAAATAAAGTAATTTTATATATTGTTTGTGGAATGAACGTAAAACGTGAAACTCCGATAAATAATCTAATTAAATAATTTAAAACACCTTAAGTTGAGTTCACAATATGAAGAAATTTATTTGATGAATTTTACTTTTTCAAAAAATTCCCAAATCTGGATCTTCCAGTTCATCAGCTGTTAGTTCTTTGGCGAAAAGTTGAAAAAATTTATTATAGTCAGGTTCTTCATGCCCATTAATTGAGTCCAACTCAAGGAAATATTGAAGAAAAATTTTCGGGTCATCAGAATCTGCAACAATGGCCTAAAATAAAAGAAACGGGTAAAACTATGAAAATTTGAGTTAAAAAGTTTCTAAAAAGAATCTACTTCAATCCCGTATTTATCCCAATACTTCAATACAATGTCCATTTGATTTTCAATGTCATATTGATCATCTACTTCATAATACCTAAAATTACCAGGAGAAAAAATAATTGAAAAATATAGTAAATTTATATAATCCCAATTGGGAAATATAACAATAAAATATTTTATGTTTGTATATAGTTTAAGACAGTAGTGTGCGAGGAAAATTTTTCAGGGGGGGTTGATTTTTCGAAATCAGACACATTTTCGTTTTTTTGGAAGTCACTTTTTGAGGCGAAAATCCCTAGCAAATCGAGAGAATTTTCTTCGCGAAAAAACCTAGAAAATCGTAAAAAATTCTCTCGGATCCAAAAACCCTAGCAAATTGAAAGAATTCTCCTCAATTTCTAATTTTCGCGAAAAAATTTTCTCATCCAACCCTCCTCCGCGCACTACTGGTTTAAGAGTAAAAAAATGACCACACTTCGCTTGAACAAACAACATTGCTTAAGTTTGAGATATGGTAGTTATATTCGATCTCGTTGAAGATAAAAGGTTTTGCTATTGATGTATTATTGATACTATTTTGCGGTGACGTTATCCCGATACGATTGTGTTCTAGGGGACGGACACAAAATCTAATAAAATCTAGTTTCATAGTTTACTGCTAATTTTGCTACTATTTTTCTAATATTAATAAAAAATCTACTATTATAACTATACAGACATACTAATATTGCTAGTTTATTAGTACAAACGTCAAACGTCAAATAGCTGATCTCAAAGTGAAATCATGAATGAATTTTTCATAAATTTTTAGATGAAGATTTAACATTTTTTTATTTTTCCAAGTTTAAAAAAATAAAATTTATTTCTATTAAATACTAAAACACTTAACGTAACAAAAATTTTTTTCGGTAAGCAAAGTGCGCAATTCTCTAACAAGCAATGATGAAGCAAAGCAAACTAATTTTTGCTAATATTTTGGTAATATTCCGCTAATATTCTAATATTTATAATGGTGTCCGTCCCCTAGATTGTGTTTCAATAATTCCACCTAGGGGGTGGACACATGTATTCGTAATCTCCAAATAGTGATGTAATCGCCTATATTGAAAAATTCTTCGTTCTACTATTTTCAAAAATACATTGCCAAAATAACATGTATCATATTTGTATTAGTAAACATGTGCACAGCACTAGTTTTTGAATATTATGCCGAAAATCGATTAATAGGCCTCATTTTGCATGGATTTTTTTATTTTCTTTTGTGCGGAATTTCTTCGACTTTGTGTAGTTCAATACGTGTGTATGCCGCCATCTTGGAATCACGTAATCACGGAAATCGTGGTTTTAGCTTGAAGATTCACCGAATCAAAGTGTATTCAAGAAATGAGGTATATTCTTCAAAACTAAGTGGATTTTACATTTTAAACATGTGTCCACCCCCTAGAATCCCGCAACTACTTCTAAATCTCAAATTTTGCTAGCAATATTGTATTTTCATGCGCTCTTTCAAGAGACTTTCATGTAAATATAGGATATTCCTTAAAATATTTGAGTCTCCTATAGTTAGTATAAGAGATCTGATTTCTGTAATTATACCAAGGTAATAAAACGCCATTTAGCTTTAATAGCACCAAGCCCAAAGATATTAAATCATCTTTTCGAACATGTGTAAGCCGATGGAGAGGACCTCTTCCCATATAAACACTGCAAAATAATTCCATCAGAAGGATCATAAAAAAGTAAGTGAATAAGTAAGTATTACGGTGTTCCGTATAATTCGTCTTCTTTCTCTCGTTTTTTCACTTCTCCCTGAGCATCCACGTACAACTTACTGAAAGCGAAGTCAAAAAAGAATATTTGATTCTTATCTGCACTGCCAACAGCGATATTATCAGGTTTAACATCTACACAAACTAGTCCTGTAAAAAATAGCATTATATTAAATTTTTTGATCATACATGTTCTTTGCTCAATAATTACTTGGCATTCATACTAACCTTTTGAATGAATATATTTAAATAATTTTATCTGGAATTAAAAATGTAATAGTAAATGTTTTTTTCTGACTATATTTCAAATTGTCAGCTTACAGCTTGAATAGCGATTTTGTAAATCGTTTTTAAATTGAATTTTCTTTTTTTCGTTGTCTTTTGTAGATCATAAAGTGTACTTCCAGCTTTCGACATTATCAACACTTTGTACTGATGAAAATTTCCGAAATAAAAAATTCTTGGGATGCCATAAGTCAAAATGGAGCAATCTAAATAGTAAATACAAAATGAAAGAAAAATAAAAATTTAATAAAAGAACCAAGAGTTAAATGATAAAATAATGACCATCGGCCCCCAAATATATATAATTGTCATATTCTCTCTCTAAGTATTTAATTCTCCCCTTTTTTGCAAATTTAATTGCAACTTCAGTCTCTGTCTTTATATCAACCCCTAAAAGGATATCAATGAAATAATAATTGTTTATATTTTCCGAATACATTTTCAATTTCATTTTTACCGCTTCGAACAAATCCAGTATGACCACTGCCTAGAAGCTCTCCTTTAAAGTAAATTTGAACATTTTATTATTTTCACACATACTGATTTGATTATGTAATATTGATTTCTCTTATTTACAGATTTGAAGCTCACCGATTAGATATCTATTGTCAATTAATGCACCTTCTATATTGGCTTCAGTAGAATCACAATTATTAAACGTATTTGAACATTGCTCTTCGGAATGAAAAATGTTCAAATTTTCATCTGCTAGCTCTTCACATGTTAATTCATTGGAGAAGAGATGCAAAAGCTTATTATAGTCAGGTTTTTCTTGTGATCTGAGGGATTGTAAATATTCAAAATATGTTATGAAAAGCTGCGGATTTTCTGAATTTTTGCAAATTTCCTGAAAATATTTAAAAAATTAAATTATTTAGTTGGGTAAAATATTGAAAAAATTGAACTTACACTGACTTACCTCAATGCTGATCTTATTCCATTCATTAAGAACAATATCAATAGTTTTATAAATATCCTCTTCATTGTTTGTTTTTTCAATCCATGGAAGAACTACACCGTTTAATTCTAATAAAACGAGACCAAACGATATAAAATCATCTTTTCGAACGTGTGTAAGACCCTTCAATGTATCAATCGTCATATATTCTGGGGTCCCATTGATTTCTTCGGATTTTTCTCGCATCTTCGCCTCACCGAGTGCATTGACGTAGAACTCACTGAATGCGAATCCGAAGAAAAAAATGTGATTTTCATTTAGATGGCTAACAGCTATATTTGATGGTGTTACGTCATGAAATGTTAGCCCCTTTTCATGTATGTATTCAAAAATATTTATCTGTTAAAGCAGTAAATTAATTAATTTAAGATGTATTAATATCTAGTAGACAATCCAAACTTTTTTTATGCAAAAATTTAATTTACTTACAGCCTGCATTGCAATTTTGCAAATTGAATTAAGATTAAGTTTTTGATAATCTGTTGATTTGGTTATATCGAATAGTGTTTTTCCAACTTTCGTCATTACTAGTACTTTATAATCCAAGAAATCGCCGAAATAATAAATGTGCGGAATACCAATACGTTGAATATCAGGATCTGATAGAATTGAAAAGGAATGTGATATGGAACCAAGTATTAAGACTTCAAAGTCATATATTTACCATCAGCCCCAAGGTAAAGATAATTTATAAACTCTTTTTCAAGTGCATACTCCATGTCTTTGGTTGCAAATTTAATAGCCACCTCATTTCCGGTTTTTATGTCAATGCCTACAATCAAAGTTATGTCAAGACTATTTTTCAAGGTTTAAGACAAGGACAAGCTACCACTGCACACGAAACCAATGAATCCATGTCCAAGATGTTCTTGAATTTGAAACTGATCATTTATAATGAGCCCCAGTAAATATTCAACAGGTTTTATCGACTTCAGTTCATGAACTAAAGCCAAATTTTTATTTGAACTCGAACTTTCTTCATATTGCATACAGTTTTCCTCTTCAAAATTGTCAGCATTCCGACCTTTTCATATGATTATTTTACATATCAAATAGATTGTAAATATATATTTTAAATTTACTTACCACAGTAAAAGTTATACAACATTAAAAATATTAAGCATTGTTGAAGAAGTGCAATAATCCTATATCAATTATATTAATTTTGAATTTTCACAAACATGTGGAATAAAAAGTTTAAATTAATTCTCACATTTTCCTACTGTTCAATTCACGATCTGTGCTGATTTTATTAAGACGATATTCCAATGATTGAAGGAATCTTACAAATATATTACTGATGCAAAATCTGAACATGATTTGTGCAATTTTTGCTTATAATTTGTTTTGCACAATATTCATATGAATCAGGTATTGCCACAATCTGATATTTGCACAAATGCTACATGGCATTGACTCCCTTATTTACACTTACGAAATCTTCGTGTATGCATTTCAAAATCATCACCTAGTGTGTAAGGTAAAGTATTGGAATCGGTCGAAAAATCAACACCCTCAAAAATATGTTTTCTGGGTGTTTTAGGAGCCAGGGAACACGAATCTAGCGTTTTTTCAATGTCCGAATGTATGTGCGTACCCTGTACGCTGTTCGCAAAAATTTGTTAACACGATAACTTATTAGTAAGTAATTCAAAATATGACGTTAGTTTTGCGATACAAATATATTTCGACACACTTTTCATACAAAAATTTCTAGCCATGCCTGTATGATATTGTTATGAGCTGAAACTTTGCAGAGCTTATTTTTTTCACACAAAAATAACATTCTGGGAGTTTGAAGACATTTCAATGCATATTAGGGGTACCTCCCGGACAAAATTTTGGATTTTTTGCTCGAAAACGAAATTTTATATGGGAAGTACCCCTAATATGCACTATGCGTCACTCAAAATGTGATGGAGAAGAAACCCATCATTATTACATAATTTGGGTATGCTGATTTCAATGGCATCACCCGTTTTTCTCTAACACGTCGGAATTTTCCACAATTTCCCTAGAGAGTTTTCCGGAGAACCAAAATTGGCTGTTTATACTCTAGTAACATTTTGAATTCATGCAATATCCCAGAGAGGTGATCTATCAGGCGTTGTAGTACGGTTCAAGTATAGTAAAGCCACTCAATTCGTTTTGAAAAAAAAAATAGTCATTTAAAAAAAATCGATTTGGTTATCCCCCTCTGAAGTCCACATTTTGAAGTAAAATTGGTATCCATTCAAACGCTCTGAAAATGAGTATTTGGGGGTTTTTTGGCATAAAAAGACCGAATATGACGCTATTTTTGTTATAAAATTGGGTTTGAATACACTTACCACACAAAAAGTATCCAAAATGGTCAAAAATATCAACGTGTGGTAAGTGTATTCAAATCTAATTTTATAACAGAAAAAGCGTTTTATTCGGTCTTTTCATGTCCAAAATTAGGTATGGCTCTCATACAAAAATTTACATTTTTAGTAGCTTTTGTATAAAAAGTGTGTCAAAAATTATTTGTATCGCAAAAATAATGTTAGATTTAGTTTTCTCTTGATTTCAAATTTAAGTAAAAGATATGTAGGTAATAAATGCATGTTGTGGATCAAAGTGCGGAAAAGTTCATCTTACGGATGTAAGACATTTTATTTTTCTTAAATTCCATTTTGGTTATGTCCGTTATCCGACTGTATTTTATGAAACAAGGACAACAAAATTAAATAATATTGATGAAATCAGTAATATTTATTATTCCAATATACTTGAAATAATAATAACTGAAATATAAAACTAAATTGTGTCAAATATCCCCAAGCTTTTCTTCTCGAAATCAGCATATGTTAATCCAGCTGCGAAGATTTTCTTTAATTCATTATAGTCTACACGTTCTTCAGGTTTTAATGACGTTAAATATTTAAAGTACTCAAAAAAGACTTCTGGATTTTCCGATTGAGAGTATAAATCCTGAAATTTTGTTTGAGAATATGAAAAGATGTTTTCAAAGTGTATGGAAAATTTACCTCTAAATAATTTTCATCCCATTCGTCTAGCAAATATTCTAGCGCTGCTTCAATATGTGAATTTCTACTCAAGTCATTCATTGGCGTGAATTGAATTCCGTTCAAATCCATAAGTACCTGAAATGAACGGATGAAAATCAATAATAATAATAATAATCATATTTTTATTTAAGTGGTCCCATAAGTACCAGTGCAAATAAAATCAGGTCATTCAACTCGTTCCTCAACATATCTTCAGGAGAACTTTTAAAACTTGAAGCGAAATCAAAAATGAAAATCTTATTCAACGTTTCCTTTGCATTTCCGATTGCAATATTTGATGAGCTAATATCATATACAATGAGACCTAAGAATCACAAAAAATGAAAATAATGGACATTAATCAATAAGTAACGGAAATAATGGAAAAGTAATCGAAAGAATGTCCTATACCCTTTGAGTGAATATAATTAAATATATCCATGGCTTGAATAGCAACTTTCATGCAAGTCTTAAAAGATAATTTGTTTCTCCCAGTAAATTCCTTTAGTTCGCGAAGTGTTGGGCCTAACATTGTGTGCATAACCATCACCTTGTAACCGCCAAAGACGTCGAAGTAAATAATTTGAGGAATGCCCAAATTCATAATATCAGGATCTATTTTGAACATATTGAAAAAATTAAATCTTGATTGTGTTAATTTGCATTAGCTTCACCTGCAGCTCCTAGTAATAAATAATTATGATATTCATTTTCGAGACTTTTAGACATCTCAGGTTGAGATAATTTTATAACCACTTTTGAGCCCGTATTTATTTCAGTGCCTGTATATATCAATCCAACATGACCAGAAGCAATCAAATTTCCAATAACAAATCTATCATCAATTACGGCATCCATGAGATCTTCTTCAGGTATGACAAAACTTATGTCAATATTTGGTTCAGAATTTTCTTCCAATGATACTTCGAATGTGCTATTTTGCCAATCATATTCTTCAACATTCACGTCTTTATATTGAACTTTTTTGCAAAAAAAGGGAAAAAATTCAAGCCAATGTACTTTATAAGATATTGGGATTTTTGCACGAATACTTACCTACAAAAAAAATTGTATAGATAACAATACAAAAAAAGCTAAAATGTATTAAGGCCAGAATCCTACATAAAGGATAGAGTGAATTTACATGTTGAGTTTATGCAACAAATCTGTTTACAAATTATTTAATTTTAAGTGTTTGAAATTAAGATATAAGGTACATACATTTTAACAAAATTATAATAGAGTGCACTTTCAATCAACGTTTCTTTCTGCAGACTGAAATTAATCATAAGGGTTTTTTTGGCATTTTTGAGTAAGCAACGATTTATTCTGAACGAATATTGGTTAATATTCCTTGCGTAAATTTCAACAGTTGCACAAACAATATCGTAGATTATGGTGTGGTTGCAGTCAATTTATTTACACAAGTGTTTAGGATTTCATTGTAAGTATATGAGTGATGATCATGGACATTCAATTTTATTTGAAAATTGAAATTCGTTTAACTTTGGTCGTGCGGGTTTTTTGCTGTTGAAATCAAGAGATATAAAAAATTGTTCGCTGCAAAAGATTTTTTTTTTAATTACATCAAATATAAAAACATTTTTAAATGCAATTATTCATGAGTGAATTTTATTTGACATGACTTTTCATTAATTGACAACAGTAAATTGTACTTAATTTCAGTTTCGTTTACAATAATTAGATAAATTCAACGAAATAAATTATGATCAGATCAGGGAAATGTAACAACTAATTGTATTTTGATCGTTTGCTAAAATTAAAGAAGTACGCTTATTGTAAGCAAAATGTTGTATGTCTGGTATACTAATACAATCAGATGAGAATTTAAATTTAATTCACTTGACCTTATTCAATATTTGCGTTGCAATCGGATGGCAACATCTGTTCTAAGTTCTTCTGCAAATCAATTAGCGCTGGACATTGTCTTACGATTGACTGTATTCCATTTAAAGTCTATAATTTAAAAAGTTATTTTGTATGCATAAACACTATTTTAGATATATAAATATATACACTTGTCCAATGTAGATTGTAGAAGCCTTACCTCAATCGCTCTGGATATAGTGTCATTTTGACTTTCCAAATTTAAATTTACTTCAGAATTATGCTCCATTGTATATACATTATTCCCACTTGGCAACTATAAAATTAAGGTTTTCGGTATAATCATATAATACATAAACATAAATGTTCTTAAATAAATAAATAAAAATAACTTTACAATTTCATGCAACAAATCTCCATTTGTTTTCAATTTATCTGCGGGTTCGTCTTCACTTTTGGAAAATGATTGATTTGGAGTTGATGAGCACAAAGTGCTCAAGTTGCATATATCATCATTTAATTTCTATTTAAATGATATAATTGTTACCATATTATATTATTGTAATAGTTTAATTATACACGGGACTTACATCAATCTCACGTCGGCCCTTCTTCAATTCTGTATGATTTTGATCCAATTCATTACAGTTGTTGACCAATTCCTTTGTTTTCAATTCCAATTCTACCTTATTTAACTGCAACATATTTCTAAAAAAAATATGTAAAAAATAGCTATAGTAAAATTCCACAAAGAATAAATGGTTTAGCAATAAAGATGCAGAAAAAGGTTAAAAAAAATCTGCAGCCATTACGAAATTTAAAAATCATATTTGTAAAGACGCATAAATTCAAACACAAAATATTAAAATATGTATGTACTTACTTTTCACTTATCAACTGTTGAATACAGTTATCGTTTTCGATTTGAATGATTCGCAAAATTTTTAATAATTTCGTTACTAAATTGTCCACGTTGATGACATTATCAACTAAAATTTGAACTGGATATTCTTGTTCATAAATTGATGAATTAATCATTGATTCTTTGCCACTGGTATTTGCTTCACTGTGAATGGATTGGTTCATCATCATTAACGTGGTTTGTTCTTCAATTTTCTGTCTATTTGCAATGGCTTCGCAGAGACTGTTTAAAGAATCGCCTCTATTGTCATCCAACGAATGCGACGATGGAAGAACACATGATGAAATAAGATTTTGTGTATGTGAATCCGGCATGGAAACATCCTCCAACACATTTTCCATCATTAAACACGGTTCAGTTTCTGAATCTAACATTTCTAGTCCGTCGGTGGTCTCAATTGAATGTAGTTTTTCGACCTTGTGATTTACTTTATCTTTAGCGGATGATGCTGCATTTTTAATTGCGTTTATTACAGCTGTAATGAATGAGTTATTGCGCTGAGGTGATGTCGTTCCATTGTACGTTGGATTATTATCACTATCCGGAGTTGATTCTTCACTGTTAGCATATGCCTCATTGTGATATACTATGTCCTTAAAGATATAAAATAAATATGAATAATTTTTTCTGATTGAAATTATATAAACTTATCATAAATTTCATTTTGATGCAACACAATTAAACAAAAAATAAACTAAATGCAAAAAGGCCTGCAACATTTGTTATTATTTAAAAAAAACACGCAAACCACAAGCGATTTAAAAAGAAATGGGAAACTTACCAAATTATTTGGTTGTGCTTCATCAAATGATATTCAATTAACAACGATTCGAAAATGAGTGAGATTGAATGAATGTGAAAAAAAGAGTGAAAAAGTTTTGAATGGCACTAATAAGTGAAAAAACATTTATATGAAACGTGTGCGGTATATGAGAGATTCCGATTTTTCGCGAAATAAATGAAATGTTTTTGACTACAGTTTCATATTGAGTAAAGAAACGTTTATGAGGCTCCTCATGCATTATTTATTGATATTTTGTAATTTTGTAATTGCTTTCTTATCTAATTATCGAATTTAAACATATAAATAGAAAAAATTAAACACGAAATATAAATTAAATGCAAAATGAGTGATCATAATAACAATTTAAAAATACAATACACTTGTTTAACGTAAACAAATAACATTGTCATATTGCTATTCACTAATCACAAGTGAATTTAAGTAGTATGAACATGATTTACCTCGATTTCCTTTTCCGAAATATTATAGGAAGCAACTAGTTGTTCGACGAGATCGTTCAAACGAGAACCAAGATCAGAAAGTGCAAGCGTAGCACCGGACACTGTGTGACTTTGATGTACGATAGAAATTTTATTTTTTGACTCCAATGCTCTGTACTTGGATTGCAATCCAAGATACTCTTGTCTGAAAGTGGCCCATAGATTAAATTTTTTTTACGTGTCTTAAAAATTCAAACATTTAAGAAACTATATAATACCTTCTTTGCTCTGAAATTCGGACCAAGTGTCGGCATTCTTCTTGTAACCTTTCCACTTCAAGATCTTTCTGCTTCAGCTCTTCAAATAAAGCTTCTTTCTCAACTTGTAAAAAGTCTTGAAGTTCCGTTGTTTCCTTCTCAAAACATTTCTTTTCCTCCAATAGATTTTGCTGTACTTGCATTGATCGATTCATTTCAGCTTGGAGTTGATTACAAAAGTGTCGCAATGTATTGATTTCAATTTGTTTCTCCTCAAGTACATGACCGGACAACTGAATTTGAGATTCAAGCATTAACAAACTATCGCATGACGTATCGCATGGTTCAGTAGCTGGTGATGCATGTACGAGCTCCAACATGCCCAACACACGTTCGGTATTACTTTGCAATTCCTTTTTCATTGCAACTTTTTCGTCGCGTTCACGAGTAAGTTGACTTTCCATTGATGTTAACAATTGAGATCGTTCTATTAAATTCTGTCGTAGTTTTTTATTTTCAGCATCCATTTTTTTGAGTTTCTCTTCAAGCTGTTCAATTTCTTTGTCTCGAATGTCAACTTGACTCTCACGATGAATCTTCAAGACGGCGTCAATTCGAACTTCTGGCGGATTTCCACCGAATGCATCATGTATGTCTTGGCCAGTGATAGCTGTTTGAATGGCAGCTTCGTGATAGATGATTGTTTTCGATGGTTTTTGATATCGCGGTGGAAAGGCAGAGATGCCTTTGATCGGTGATTCTCGCGCCCGAAGACTCTCCCGTCTAATAATAGTTGACGATGTCATTCTATCTCTTGTTGTAGAACTACTTCGGTTCGGTCGCCATTCGCTCAAGTCTTCTTCAGATTTAACTTTTGTTTGTCGCGATAATGTTGTTCGATTTTCCAAAACGATGGAACCGACCTTTGTTTTTATTATGAGTGGATCATTAGTATTCCGATTCTGTACTTTGCTTGCCGATCGAAATTGGTTTGACGGCCATCTTCCATCGTCTTCTTTTGATGGGGTCCCACTTGGTGTTTGTCTTCTATAGATAAATAATTGTTAACGAAAATACATCCATCAAAAGGCACATGTTTAAGATCGAAATTAGGTCCAAATATGTGTGTAGTTCAGCCACCAAAGGAAGAAAAAAAAATTAGTTAGAAAATTACTTAAAAATAATGCTTAAGAAAAATTGATAATGAAAATAGAGATGCATATTTCTATCACTTATCGTCGAAACGAGATTTAATTGTGGGTGTGGTGCACAGTATAAATTAAATATCAGCAAAATGTCATCCAATTTCGACGGTAGAAATGCCTTTCCAAATTGCATCATCAATTTGCCTAAAAATCGTTACCTAGAAACTGATGCAGTTCGTTTTAATGTTGATGACTTTTGTTGAACGTCTTTTGTATTTGTAGGTAATGAACCAGGTTTTACACGTTTTATCGGGGATTGTGAGTTCGATGTAATTTGTTTATCACGTGATCTTGCTCGTTCGGAAGTTGCCAGTAGCGGAGCACCATAGCTACGATGATTTGTTGCTCGATTGGCTGATGCAGCCCTTGCACGGTTTTTAGCTGCCGAACATTCAGAATTTCTAGATGTTTTTAATTGATTTGTTTCATTCAGACCGACTCGTTTTTTCGGTGATGCTTGTCTAAGTCTTTGTTTATCACCACTTAGTGATGAACTTTCACTACCATTTTCACTAGTACAATCCGCGCTCATTTTACAACTCAATATAGTCGTTTTTCCATCATGCGAATCGGAGCATACCTGGGGGGTGAATCACATAGAACAGATATTAAGAAATGTAAATTGATAAACAAATAATGGACAAGTTGAAAACAGATAGTGAAAATGAAATTGTAAAAGAAAGTGAATTTACATACACTTAATAAACTTGAATTGCATGATGCAAATTGTACATCTAATCCGCCCGAACTACTCGCATAGCCAGCGCTATTATTACCTGAGGAAGAATCACACAAAAAAATAATCAAAATAATCAACAACTAATCGAAATATCATTACTCAGTGCTCTTTGAAGTTGAATTGGTTTTGTAGCGCCAGTATCAACACCGCTATCATTGCCATCGCCATTTACAATAGTGACTTTTTGTGCGCCTATCTCCAAATTGTCGATTTGGTTTATTATCTGTTGGGTTTCTTCAAACTCAACCTGCTTTACACAGCTATTATCCAATGATCCGAATTCGCTGCTGTTTGGAGTCTTCCATTCGGAAGCAATATCTTCTGAGTTCACTTCGTCCATTTTTTGTTATTTGCTTTTATTCCTGAAAACTGAAACATATATTTTATTAGAAATTCGCATTCAAATCTTCTTTGAATTTGGACTTATGGATTTCTATTACTTAAAACAGTGAATTATGGCAAACTAGAACAACATCACGGTATCTTTAAGTATTTTTTAATTTCGTTATCAACATTAGTTCATAAATATTTCATTTTATGTTTCGTATGAACTGTGAATGTAAATTAATGACCATAACAGTTAACAGAGTTACGTAAAGGATACAACTTTTCGCAATATCGTTTCATTATTATTTTTCAAAATAAATTTGCGCTTAAAGTCAAACGATAGTTCATTCATCTACAATATGCCTGCTTTGCTTTTCCCTTATGTAAAATAGTAAATCAATTCTACCATTCAATATTTATATTTATGGTATTATTAGCTGAAATAAGCAAGAATTTACCATACATTTGTATGCCACTTCAAAGTAAGCATAGGTCAAATTTGTAGTGGCATAGTTTTTGGTATGCGGTGTGTTATCAACAATGCGACGTGTCTCCATTTATGAATAGCTGGATCGTAACAAGCATAGATTATCCAAGAGCAAAAAACTATATGGTTAATATAAAATGTATTGATTCAAGGCCAAAAGAAACGCAATTAAATCGTTTCACTTTCAAAACTTATAACGCTTACGATAGAGATATTTTTTTTTTGGTGTACATTCATGTTTTGCTTAAACAAGCAAATTCGCACCGAACTGATGTTCCGCATCGTGAAACGGCAAAAATATCATCTTGAAGAAATAAAGAAGAAATCCACACGCAAACGCGCATTGGCTTCCTTAAGTTGAAAAACCATGTTTGGAATTCGTGGTATTCGAATGGTACGCATGTTTAAAATAAACTCATCTAAAACCACACACTCTCTAGACTGGGATATCTTTGATTTTCATTTTCAAAAGTTGACGAATACCTCGCACGCAGCTGGCGTTCTGTATTGCCGTTAAATTTTAATCGAATTCTTGAGCCATTCACATATTCTGTGTTAGTTTTGACTTCGCGAGTTTTGGCAATATTGAAATATTTTGAAAAAAATACTATTTGAAATTTGTTTTCATCAATCACACTTCTTCTTCTTCTTTTTTTGGTTTAAAATAAAAAAATCGTATAAAAATTTGATTATCAAGATGTCTATAGAATCTTTAAAGATGAATAATTTCATAGTTGAATATTGCTTATTGCTATTCTTTACAGGCATCAAATTAAGAAAACTGTTGCTGTTCTCTGAACGTCTTCTTTGGGTAATGCTTTCAGTTTGCCTTTCTATTTATACTTCTTGTACGGAAATTGATGTTGCACTTTCGCAGTGAAAAGAGAGTTTGAGCAGAACTAAATCCGATTTCTATAATGAACTATTTCATTGTTTCATTCCAATTTAAATGTCATCGAATTCAATAGCGATAATTTAGCGAAAGGCTTTTTGAATGTTGAATCACTTACTATCTTTCAGTTGAATACACTGAATAAATTACTGGTTACTTTCTCAGTGTACAAAAAATTGCACAACCAAAATGATACAAAAAATTACAACGTCAATCGTTTCACCACAAGTTAATTATTATATACAACTAACAAAAATAAACCAAAATCAAAACAAATGAAAATTCAATCAACTGCATTCATGTTGCATGTGATTCCCTTATTTTTTCGACATTTGTTTTGTTGCCATTTGGTTTTCATGTTTTTTTTAAAGAATTGTGTTCGAAGCAAAATGGATATACCAAATTTAAATCTATAAAAATGCATCAAACTATTGAATTGAATGGAGAGAAAAAAATATGTCGGAATGGATTTACTTTGATGTTTTGGCTTTGTATGGTTTTTGAGCTCTTTTGATGTATATTTGTGAGCAATGGAATCAGTGTGCGTTTGATAAACAAACAATCATAAAACAATCGTGACATCCGTCAATTACATGTATTTTCTTTTCATTGTTTATGCCGCACTGAATGTTGGCGTATCTAGTGAAGATTATTCATTGAAAATTTCATCGAGAATTTTCTAAAACAATATAGTGCCCCAACTATTAACAATAGCATTCATGCGAAGTTCAAATTTTGTAAAACGGCAATTGAATTGAATGTGGGCGTTTGTCAGTGCTCTGATCAATTGAAAAGCAGATAAACATTTATAAATTAAACTTAATCATTTATATAAAAAATAGCTTGAAGGTAAAACTTGAAAATTTTAACAAGTATTCATTCGATATTTTAATCATTTTTGTTGTATATTTTCAATAGATATGTTCCAATAATAAAAATGTTTCATTTCATGAATACTTCCGTTTACGCTCCCTCATTTTAATGCAATTCAATTTGAAAACAGCTCAATTAGCTTGGAGTATAAAAAAACAATGAAAGAAAGAAATAGAGAGAAAAAAAGATTCTGAATATTCAAAGAAAGAAATGTTAGAAATTTATTAAATGTTATCTGTTGTGGTAGTAAAGAAGAATATTGTTACGTTGATTCATGTGCTAGAAAACTAATATGATTATTCATCATCAACGTAAAATGGTGTATATATGAGTTTATACTTTATTGAGCACATCGAACTTTTTATGCGAAAATATCAGGAACAAAGAGGAGTAAAATCTCAAATGAGAATACAGTGTTCAATTTTGAAATGCTATGCAAGAAAAATGATCGTGACATGAATAGGAAATATTGCTTCGTTTTTCTTTTAATTTTAAAAAGTAAACTATTCACTACTTTAAACTTGACAAACTAGATAAGCCGACCTGGAGATGACAGCTCAAAACTAACTTTTTTTAATGCATTTCGTATGACTTTCTTTGCTTTTGGGGTAACACTACTTTAATTATGTTTTTTTTTTTTGCTTTGTGTTATTTCTATTTCACATTTGTGCACTGACTTCATAAAATATTGATTTTTCATTTAAAAAGGGCCTTCTTCAAGTGAACAAATTGTTGTTCTTTTTTATTGGAAAAATAACTGTTTTAGTGTCAGCCCAGTTGATAAATATGTACCCTGTTTTCAACTGACTGCTTCTTTGTTAATAATATGTTCAACAGATGTACATGCAATTCATGAAAAATTTAATGGCGAATGATAAATAGCGTGGAATGAAGAAAAAACACTAGAATATACAGTAGATGATGCATTTGAGAACTTTGAATAGTAAATGGTTCTTATGATTTTTTTACATATTTGCAGAAACACGATTTACTACTATATGCATTACAAGTAGTCATTTCACAGCAATTATAGATGTTGCTAAAGAAAATTTTAAGCCAACAACATTTTTTCCTGTTAACTTTAGTAGGTGCGTTTTTATAAAGGTCAATAAACTTGGGTTATTTGTACATTGATCGTGTTTTTTTTATTTAAAGGACAATTTGAAAAAAATCTTTTCTATTTAAAATTTTAATGCGAACTGCATTAAAATCAGACGGTCGATGAAAATAAAACCATATTGAATTGAAAAAACATACGCAATGCGTAGAAACTAATACCTTTGACTTTTTAAGGTAAGGTCAATTTTTGCGAAAATTACATCAAAATATTCTTTGACAAAAAGGGCGATGATTTTTTCTCTGTTAATCGATTGGCTTTCATTTATCGTGGAGTACAGTACTAACAACATTTTCTGCACTAGTTCGTACCGTATCACAACCTTTCACTGAGCCAGACTATTGATTCAAATAAAATAGCAATTACCATTTGCACTAAACGTTGCAAAAAAACGCAGACTTTCTACTAATAGCCGCTGGCTTGAATTTGTTTAGTTCACCAATGAAACAGTTTTTTATTTATGGTATTTCTACGTATAAACTACGTTTTATGATTTAAATGTTTCTAGTTTGATAGAAAATAATGACGAGATTAGCACATAAGGGTTGACTTCTAATATTTCATATATAAGTACAATATGATAACTGGATGTCACAAAAAACACTTGCACAAAATTGATACATCAACATTCAATACTATTAATTTAAAGTGAAAAAAATCGGTTAATATTATTAGTCATTTTTATGGCACAGAATTTCTAAGTCTAGTCTTTGATGATATATTGTCGATGAAAACATAAGAGCAATGAAAAATGTGGATGAATGGCATTGTCGCCTGTCATGTAAGTTATGCGAGAGCTCGTATGAAACTAACACAATACCGGACTGCTTGGCTTGCATTCAGTTTATGTTTTCCCTCTTGTTTTCATCGAATACATATGTAAAGTTGTATTGGTATCGGCAACGCAAATGTCTACAAACATGTCTACAAAAATGTCTACATAAAATGTCATATTGCCAACCGATGCGTTCTTTATCCATCGAGAATGAAGTTTAGAGAGAGCGAGAGAGAGAGCCGAAAAAAAAAACCAAATTTTATACGTCAATAATTATTTTATTGAAAAGTTGAAGTAATCTGATTGTGAGAGATGAATTAATTAGGAGTTATTTTTTCTTAAAACTAAATATATTTTATGTAATATTGTATTCATGTTGTACAAAATGGGAAAATGACCATAAAATAGAAAAATGGAAGTTATGTTGACAAATACAAGCGATGATAGTCATTAGCACCGAAAGCACAATTACACTTTGGGCATTTGCGTTGTCTTGTTTCGTAACGTGTCCGAAGACAATCGTAGCAAAATACATGGAAGCATTTCGAAAGAACTGCATCCTTGCGTTTAACCTTACAAGATGGACAAGTGAGAATTTCTTTGTATTCACGGATTTCTTCCATCATTACCTCATCGATGGTTGTTCCGGTCATTTCGATTTTTTTCATTCGTTCCACCTTTCTTCGGATCTGTGCTAACTCTTCTTGCAAACGCTTCGTCTTATATGCTTCAGCTTCTAGCGAACTTGTCTTTTCGGCCACAACTTGCTGGGCCTCTTTCATTTGGGAATGATATTTTTCCAAGTGTAACTTCAAATCGGCTGCCGATTGCGCCGATTCAATGGCTTTGCGCTTGTGCATTTCCATCGCTTGTTGTCTTAATGTCAATTCTTTTTCAATTGTAGTTACAGTATTCTGTAAGATACGCTCTTTTTCCTCCAACTTACGCAGTACAATGTGCAGAGCTTCGATTTGGGCGTCTCGAGTTTGAACTTGATCTTCGAGTATTTGTTTTTCCTCACGTAGCAATTTATGCATTTGATTGGATTTTATGCGCTCAGTCATTAATTTAAAGTTTGCGTCGTCTTTTTCACGCAACTGCTGAATCAAGCGGGAATTCTGCTCCTGCATGTCTTCAAATGCTTGTCCGGTTACCTCCATTTCATTTAGGAGGGCTTCTTCTTCCTATAGATTGATAAAAAAATTGTTTAAAATAATTATACAATAAAAACACATACACATTTCTGAAAAATAAACTCTAACCGGCGATCCGACAAATGGTCGGGTTCCATAATGTCCGGGCCATGACCCATCAGCTGTTTTTTGACTTGCTACTTGTTTCTGAAGTTCATACTTTTGTTCCTCTAATTGCTTGATTTTCCGTAATGCATCTTCATCTGCTAATTTCTTGCGTTCTTCACGTTTGCTCTCCTGTTATAATAATATCGGTTATTTGGATTAATATACATGTTACTTATTGACATTAATTTTATATTTAAATGCTTTAAAGTACTTGAATCTTTTTCATTTGATTTCGCAGTTCCTCAATTTCAGAACGCAACTTTTTTTCAGTGGCCATCAATTGTACTTTGTCTCGTTGATCTTTTGAAACGCCTTTATACATGTCCAGCAGCAGTTTCATTTCTTTTTGATCATTCAAAGCTTTCCTGTATAGAAGAAATCATTGGAATATTTTTTAAATTTAAAAAAAAATTACTCAAATTAAAAAAAACCCACTTTAATTGTGTTTTCAGATCACGAACAATTTCAGATTCATTGATTTTCAATTCTTTTGCCCGTTGTGCTTCTTTTGGATCTTTTTCGATCTTGGGTGCATTATTCTGTCCATCCTTTTTATCTACAGAACCCGTAGCAAATGTGTCTTTTTCTTGTTTAATAGATGCACCCCCTTCCTTTTTAATTCCATCAATTTCTTCTAATTCCTCTTCATGTTGATCGGATTCAGCTAGATTCATTTAAGTTCATTAGTTGTTTGAAAGTACTAAATGAATATATTATAATTCTTATGGTAACATACCTTTTATTGCATTTCCACTCTCTTCTTTAATAGACACCGAACCATCTGATGATGATTCCTCTTTGACACCAATCACAGTTCCTTCTTGTTTGATATCAACTTTTTTGCCATCAGAAACATTGGCCTTAGCAACTAAATCATCATATTCCTTCTTCATTTTTATTAATTCAGCTGCAGCATCTTTATATTTACGTTTGTATCGAAATACTTCACCTTTAAGCTGACCATTGTGATTCTGAAGCGATGTGATCAAATGGCGCATTTCACGATTGATTGGTGCAGTCTGTTCATTGGCCGCCAAATTTTGCTCAAATTCTATACGAAGCATTTCGTATTCTTTTCGAATCTGTGCCAATACATCTTCCATTTGAATCATTTCACTGCGTACCTTCTTTTGAGCTATGAGCTCTTCACTTTCCATGATTTCAATTTGGCGCAAATGTTGATTTTTGCTTGTTTGTAGTTGATTACGTGTCTCGTCCAACATTGTTTTTATTTGCATCGATTCGTTATACAATACAGAGAATTGCGACTGTAAGCATTTATATTCTGTCGTTTCAACAATTACCGATTCGGGCAGTTGACGAATCTAATTTAAATAATTTATCAGATAAGTATATTTCAATTAAAGAATATTTCAATTCACCAGAATTAACATATTAATCATCTTAACTTACATCCATTTTAAGTTTTTCGACTTCCTTCAGTGCCTCGTGATACGTTTGTTGTAGCTTATCTAGTTCTTGTAAGCGATTATTGGCCAGCTCACGACACTCTTCCACCTCTTTTTGCAAATCTTCTAAATGCTGAGTGGCAACATTCGTTGTAGTTGATGATGACTTGCCCGATGATGATCCCGAAGCCGTTGATCCCGAAGTGCTTTTATTTGGTTGATCGCCGTGCATTTGATGGTATGATTTTAATTTTTCGATTGCTTCGGCGAAATGATTTTCAAGTTTATCGTTACGAAGGCGAACCTTCTCCAACTCATATTGCAAGTCGTCTATTTGATTTTGCAGCTCAGCCGCTTCTGTTTCCTTGCCAGTCAATGTATCTTGAAGCTCTTTCAATTTCAGCGAAATCGTATGGTATTTTTCGTGTAGTGATGTATTCAAACTCTGCAAGTTTTTATTTTCGGCCATAATTTCTATTTGTGTTTCTTTCAATGTTTCTTCAATATCGGGCACAGAAAGATTATCATCATCCGATTGACCTTTTAAAATCATTGTAAATTTTTCATTTCGCTGCATTAAGCGATCGATGACTTGTACGACTTTGGCTACAGCACGCTTTGATACTTGTACGCGATTTGCCAATTTATCGTCCAACTCTTCTTTATCCCATGTTGAAAGCTGTGTTAAAAAAGAAGTCGTAACCTCATTTTCATCTGAAAATCAAAGAAATATATTAAGACAACTCATCCTTTTATTTTGACTGTCGTTATAGTTACTTTTGTTCTCAGCTTCATCGGCTGTTTCTGCATCAAAACGTTGCAATAAAACACGAATGTCTTCGTTCAGCTGGTTCCAATATCGGTTGACGACATTCAAAACAGCATCATCTTGAGTTTGACGCTTTTCCAATTGTTCTATACGTTGCCGCAATTCAGCCTCACAACGAATTCGTTGTTCAATGCGCTGTATATGCATAAATGAAAAAATTATGGAAAAAACGCCAAGAAATAAAAAAAATTCAAGATTTCAACGTAAATACTTATTTTTTAATATAAATATAGTAAATGTTTTTACCTGAGCAAGTTTTTTATTTTGGAATTGAAGGACTTTGATATCAAGCTCCTCCAGTGTCGATACTGGGCCAATTAAATGTGGCTCAAATTGAACTTTTTTTATGGGTGGCTGTCCGCCTATAGTCGCTGTATCATCTGCCGTGCGTTTCGACATTTTTCTTTCAAAATATTATCCAAATTATTATTCAATCAAATCAATTCGTTTTCAAGTGAAACAAAAATTTATTATAATCAATAAATAAATTTTTAATTTAAAAACCCATTTGCAAACTATAATGGAGTCTCAAGCGAGTCAAAGTTAGTGTGCTACTAATGGACAACACCACAATATTGATTCTGTTTCTCATTTGACAAAGGCAGCTGTCAAAGTTTATATGTTAGCTTTGTAAAGTCTCCAATGGAAACTCTCCATTCTATGTAGATTCTACACATTTTGAATCAAATGGCGAAACGGATAATTTTAAATATTCAAATTTTTAAATGGAAAGAGTAAAACTAACAAAATAATTTAAATGGAAATTTATTTATGGTATATATGCATTTATTATTGATTTTTGTAATTTGGGTTCCAACAAAAACTGTCTTCACACGTCACGAGAAATGTTTCGTACTTAAAATTAAGTATGGAATTAGACCGTTATAACAGTTATGGAAGGCAATTATTCAATATAAGCAACTGAATGCCGCTAAACACTATAAGTGAACTTTTGTGTATTTTTATTTTTATCGAGTATTTTTATTTTTATCGAGAAAAATTGTTTACTGGAGAGATGGTTTTTTTCATATATTTTTGAAATATTTTGTCAAAGTTTATTCTTATTCTATATACGTATTCATACAAAATGAAAGTTATGAAGATAAGTACAGGCGATGATAACCATTGGCACCGAAAGCACAATTACACTTTGGACATTTGCGTTGTCTAGTTTCATAACGTGTGCGAAGACAATCATAGCAAAATACATGGAAGCATTTTGAAAGAACTGCATCCTTACGTTTTGTTTTACAAGATGTACAAGTGAGAATTTCTTTGTATTCGCGAATTTCTTCTATCATCACTTCATCAATGGTAGTTCCTGTTATTTCTACTTTTTTCATGCGTTCCATTTTTCGTCTGACTTGAGCCACTTCTTCCTTCAAACGCTTCGTTTTATATGCTTCGGCTTCAAGCGAACTTGTCTTTTCAGTCACAATATGTTGTGCTTCTTTCATTTGGAAGTGATACTTCTCCAGGTGTAATTTCAAATCGGCTGCCGATTGCGTTGCTTCAATTGCTTTTCGCTTATGAATTTCCATCGCTTGTTGTCTCAACATCAGTTCATTACTCATGGCTGTTACATTATTTTGAAGAATGCATTCTTTTTCCTCCAATTTGCGTAACACAACCCGTAATGCTTCGATTTGGGCGTCACGCGTTTGAACTTGATCTTCGAATATTTGTCTCTCCTCAAGCAGTAATTTATGCATTTTATTATATCTTATGCGCTCCGTTATTAGCTTAAAGTTTGCATCATCTTTTTCGCTCATTTGTTGAATCCAATGTGAATTCTTTTCTTGTATTTCTTCCAGTGCACGTCCCGTCACTTCTATTTCACGCAAAAGAGCTTCTTCTTCCTGTTATATAATGTTTTATTACTCATTGAATTAGAATTTGAGCTTGAAAAATTACTCACTGGTGAACCAACAAATGTATGGGTTCCATTGTTTCTTGAATTGACCACTTGTTTCTGAAGTTCATAATTTTTTTGCTCTAATTGCTTTATTTTCTGCAATGCGTCCTCATCTGCTAATTTTTTGCGCCCTTCATGCTTGAAACTCTGTAATTTAATATAATATATCATTATTTGTTGCCAATATTAAGTAAAATAAATAAAGGCATGCCGTTGTGTACTTGTATTTTTTTCTTTCGATGTACGAGCACGTCAGTCTCAGAGCATAACGATTTTTCACTGGTCATCAACTGAACCTTGTCTCGCTGATATTTTGGAATATCTTTGGACATCTCTAGTAGTAGCTTCACTTCCTTTTGGTCGCTCAGTGCCTTCCTGAATGTTTAAAATCGAGTAGTATTTTCATTTTTATTATTAGAAATTAAAAAAAGATGTATTACTGTATTTTCATATTGCTAATCATTTCGGATTCTTTCGGCATTTTTTCTTTTTGAGCACTTTTAGAACTGTTCAAATAAGCATTTGGCGTTGTATCATAATTGCCTTGTTTAGCACATGCATCCTTTTCCATTTTTCCATAAATTTCTTCTAATTGGTTTCCATCTTGTTCAAATGCAGCTAAATACAATTACAGTTTATAGTTATCTGTTAATTCAGATCAATTATATTGTAATATAATTCCTCAAACCTTTTACTGCAATATCATTCTCCACTTTTATAGAAACTATACCATTTGTTGTCGAAGAAGAAATATCTTCCATACTAATTACATCTCTCTCGAATTTAATATCAGTTTGTGCTTGAGCGATCAAATCATCGTAATCCTTCCTAATTTTCTTTAATTCAGCTGCAGCATCTTTATATTTATGCTTGTATCGAAATACTTCACCTTTAAGTTGACCATTGTGGTTATGAAGCGATGTGATCAAGTGACGCATTTCACGAATAATTGGTACAGTCTGTTGATTGGCAACCAAATTTTGTTCATATTCGATATGTAATATTTCATATTCACTACGAAACTGTGCTAAGACGTCTTCCATATGAAGAATTTCATTGCGTACTTTCATTTGGGCAATGAGCTCTTCACTTTCCATGGTTTCAATTTGGCGCAAATGTTGATTTTTGCTCGTTTGTAGTTGATTACGTGTCTCGTCCAACATTGTTTTTATTTGCATCGATTCGTTATACAATACAGAGAATTGCGACTGTAAGCATTTATATTCCGTCGTTTCAACAATTATCGATTCGGGCAGTTGACGAATCTAATTTAAAAGAAGATATCGCTTATAATGTATCTAAATTATATTTAATGCGTCTAGGCCGAACCTACATCCAATTTCAGTTTTTCAACTTCCTTCAATGCCTCAAGGTGAGTTTCATGTAGCTTTTCCAGTTCTTGTAAGCGATTATTGGCCAATTCACGATACTCCTCAACTTCCTTTTGCAAATCTTCTAGATGCTGAGTGGCAACATTCGTTGTTGATTTGTACAGTGACGAATTTGGTTGACATGACTTTAATTTTTCGATTGCTTCAGATAAGTGATTTTCTAGTTTGTCATTACGAAGTCCAACTTTCTCCAAGTCATATTGTAATTCTTCTTTTTTATTTTGCAGCTCAGCCACTTCTGTTTCTCTGCCAGTCAATGTATCTTGAAGCTCTTTCAATTTCAGCGAAATCGTATGGTATTTTTCGTGCAGTGATGTATTCAAACTCTGCAAGTTTCTATTTTCGGCCATAATTTCTATTTGTGTTCCTTTCAATGTTTCTTCAATATCGGGCACAGAAAGATTATTATCATCCGATTGACCTTTTAAAATCATTGTAAATTTTTCATTTCGCTGCATTAAGCGATCGATGACTTGTACGACTTTGGCTACAGCACGCTTTGATACTTGTACGCGATTTGCCAATTTATCGTCCAACTCTTCTTTATCCCATGTTGAAAGCTGTGTTAAAAAAGAAGTCGTAACCTCATTTTCATCTGAAAATCAAAGAAATATATTTAGACAACTCATCCTTTTATTTTGACTGTCGTTATAGTTACTTTTGTTCTCAGCTTCATCGGCTGTTTCTGCATCAAAACGTTGTAGCAAAATTCGAAAGTCTTCATTCAGCTGGTTCCAATATCGGTTGACGACATTCAAAACAATATCGTCTTGAGTTTGTCGCTTTTCCAATTGTTCTATACGTTGCCGCAATTCAGCCTCACAACGAATTCGCTGTTCAATGCGCTGTATTATAAAGGTGCAAAAATATGATAAAAACATCAAGAAATGTTTATTAAGATAGAATATACTATCTATAAATAAATGATGATACCTCTGCAAGTTTTTTATTTTGGAATTTAAGGACTTTATTATCTAGTTCGTCCAAAGAAGATATTGGTCCAATTAAATGCGGCTCAAATTGAACTTTTTTCGGTGGTAGTTCACATATAGTCGATATATCATCGTCTGCGTTGCGCTTAGACATCTTTTTATGTAATCAAAATTATTATTGAATTTCAGCTTTTTTATGTGTAATATAAAGAGTAAACGATCAATTTGAATAATAAATAGCTAAATTTTATTTCTACTATTTTATAGATACATTTGATACAATTATGATTTGATAACACTATAATACAATTTTTCAAAGTGAGCTGCCAAAAGTATTTATGATTGAACTAGTACCTCTACTACTACTTCAACTCTCCACATTTAGTTTACACAATCTGCTTATATTTAAATCATGTACAAGCGCAAAATTCAAAATATTTTTTGAAAACTATGCACTGCAGAAAAAACATATATGAACTAGATCGTTTTTTATTTTGTTATTCTCATTAGCATCATTGCGTATGAATAAATTTTCTGCGTTACCTAAAAATAAAGTAAATAAAGTAACTAAATTAACATTACCTGTTTCACTCACTTTGGATGCAGTTTCCATATTATACGGTACAAATCTGAAAAAATATCTGACAAATAACTTCATACATTGTGCTAAATCCATATAACATACGGTCCAATCCAGAAATCAGGAGCTCTTTGTTGAGCTCTCAGAGCGTTTACAAAAAGTTTTTGCTCTTCAATTGAAAATAATATCCACTCTGTTTCAGATAGAACTTTCAACAAATGACCATTCTATCAACAAAGAGAGAAGCAATTAATCTTCGATAAAATGAAAAATTGCGGTGGACATTGTTTTCGTAAATTTACATTATTTTGAACCGATTGACCGACAGCGCACATTGAGAGAAGTTGTGTGTAAGCAAAAATTATATACCCAATACCCGCGTACCAAAAATTTACCATGACACAAAATAAGGAAAGTATCATCGAAAATGATGAGATAAGTGGCTGTACTAATAGAATTACACCAAATGTTCTATTCATTTTCGAAGCATAACTGCGAATCAAAAAGAAGACGTAATGTACATTTACTTTGGAATAAAAAATTGAGAAAATTACTTGTTCAAGTCTTGAAATTGTCTTAAGATGTTTATAAACTTGGCTTTGCGTGCAGATTTCGTATGAGTGTCATTTTTCCACATAGTGTTTAACTCGGAAAGTGATTGTTCGATTAATTTAGATGCAGTTCCGTGATGACAGATACATAAGGCAAAAAACAAATCCATACACGTTGCTGAAATCAGAGCTGAAGATGAGAAAATCATTTGAAAAACGATATTCAAATAAAATTCTTTAATATGTTCCAAATTAGTAAATGGCACGAGAATAGGCAATAACCAAACATAGTTTTTTTTAATAAGCCACATATACGCCGGAAAAAATGAAAAAATATTGGCTGCCAAGCAAACAGCTAAAATAATAACAAGTAGCGTCAAGTATGTACGTCCAATTGACATTTTCATTTGGTTTTTACGATGATTTGCATTCGTTGATTCAATCATTTCCAGGCTACTTCCTTCATTGGAATGATATAAAAATTCACCAAAATCAGCAAAAGAACAAAGTTCACGACGACGTCTCAATATTACGTGAAGTTTTATCGTATTCTGAGATTTAATGATACAAAAATGTGATAATAATAATATTTAATAATAATAACAAAGGGCTTTTGAGGAAATTTTTTGAATACCGGCAGAAACACTCCTTGACAACAAAAAACTTGTAAAATCATAAGACTTTGATCCATGAAATACCAAATAGTGTAAAAACAAAATACAACGAATGTTATTGTTATAATTAATTTAATCAATGTAAGTACGTTGAATTTCCAATTTTTATACAAAAAACCAATTCCAACAATGCTTAATGCTTTATTAAGAACAAATCTCAGTTGTTGAAGTCTTCGCTTCGGATCTTTGTCAAACTGTTTATAAAACTGAATTGCTTGCCAGGCCAATTGTTTTACTTTTGCAAACATTTTTTATATTGAACTTTGTTTACCGATATTTTATTGAAAACTAAACAAAACAGTGCAACTACAGGTGCTATTTATATGGATCATCCACATGCAAATTTTTCTTTGATAAATCATAAAGAAAGTGAATAAAAGATGTATTGAATTTCATATTCTTTAGTATTGAAAAATATTCCTTATCATGAAAAAAAAAAAAATACTTTGTACAAAGATAATTATATTCCAAATATTGAAAATGTTTATTCAAAATTGATCAATCAATATACGTTTCAATTGATGAACCATCAAACGTGTTTTGAGCATAAATTTAAAAAAAAAAACATTTCATTTCATTATTAAAAATTCATGTCATTAATGGAAATAGTATGAATTCCAGGTCCAAAAGCAACACATATAATTGTAAAACTACAATGTGCCCACACGACCACGTTCTAAGTAAATAATAATTTATTTAAAATTGAAGTAAAAATGTTTTATTTTCGAATGCGAATTGTAGATGGACAAATATTTATTTGACTTTACAAACTCACTAACGAATTTCAAAGCACATTTTCCACTTTTGTCAAAAAATTATTGAAGTAAAATTAACTATTCCAATATCAGTTTATTAGTTTAAACTAAAAAAGACTGTTACTTTTTATCCAAATCGTAAATTGCGATACATCAGTGAAAACCACATAGTCTTGTAATTTGCAAGCACCTGTATTTGCGTCCGATAAACCTGCCGAAACAATACCTCTTAAAGTCCATCGATCATTATGGTAAAGAGTCAATCCACCGCCTAAATTATTTTTATTTTTAAATTTTTTTGTTTAATTTTGAAATGTTTATATAAATAATAAAAAAAGTAATTTCAACTACCTGAATCTCCATGACATGGACCATCTCCGTTAAGAGTTCCCGCACAAAATGTGCGATTCGAAACAGCTTTTGAGAGAGATTCGCTTGTTTGAACACAAGTAATTGAATTAACTATAGGTAAATCAACCTTTTTTGGAATATTTGAAACAACACGATCAGTTCCATCTTTCCCCCAACCGACTACAGGTAAAGATAAGAAACATTTGGTAAAGAAAAGAAAACTCCATACCCTCAGTATATAATTCATAAATTATAAATACCATACCTACAGTACCGCTGCGTGAATAAGAAGAATTGTTAGAATACAATTGATTCGATCATATAGAAGTGAAAAAAAAACTCAATACCTTTTTCCTTCAATCTCTTGAATGGTTGATGTTCCGGGCCACAGACAAGCAGGTCTAACAAATTCATTGAATTCGACACGTTTGGTCATTACTAAAATTGCGATGTCGGCATCAAATGATTCTTTCTGTCGTTTGTAGTCGGTGTGTATTATTATTTGTTCAACATTTGTTGCTATTGATCCAACTTCACTCCAATCTATCAAGCTATATCGTCCCTATGCGATAAAATGTATATTATTATTTGTGTTTTATCATTAAATGTTTAATTTTATTTTCATCTTACCAGATATAAAACCACCTCATGTGCACGATAATTTTTTGTCGATGTATTAATGCAATGTGCTGCAGAAATAACAGTTTTTGCCGAAATAAGGGTCCCTCCACAGTTAAATGACAGACCCGTTGCTTTGTTCAAATATATTGCCACCATCCAGGGCCAGTCTCCTCTCTGTGTATCCTCTCCGCCAAAGACAAGTGGTGTAATTTCCGTTTCTGAGTGCCTTGTTCCACAAATATCGTCTAAATTAGTGTTTGAAACAGATGGTTTTGGCTCTGGTACTTTTACTGTTGTCGTTTTTATTGTTGGTGGTGGCTGTGTCACAATGAATGGAGGTATCATAACTGATGGCATCATTCCTTGATTTGGAAATCCAGACGATGACATTGGTGTATAGGAATTTGTCGGCGAATAATGACTCCCGAAATTTGATGTAAAACCCGGTTGATTTGTATTTCGGTCAAAACTATAAATATTGTTTGCATTGTTCGGTTGGAAGTTTGTATACGTATTCATGACATGTTTTAAATCGATACGACTTATAACTGTCTGAGAATTTGGTTGCTCTAAAAACATTTTAAAAAATACAATTAGTTTGATTTTGTTTGGCATTTTCACTTTGTCATAAAAACTTAATACCTTCAGGTCCAGTGCATAATAAATTTCCATCGTACACAATTCTAACATGTTTTAATAACATGTATAACAATGCAATAACATGTATTAATATTTGTATTCATTAAATGTTTAATTTTGTTTTCATGTTACCTAGTTAGTTTTGGTAGTGGGTTCCTAAAGGGAAAAGTAACATGAAACGTCAATGGTTCACGATTGATAATTTTTTTTGTTGTCTCTTGAGGTGTTCCAGTTATAGTGATGGTGCCAACATTATCGGGCTGTTTAAAAATTAAGAATAAAAGAGAAAATTGTACTCAAAATACTTAAAACTTTATTGAAATTTGGATTGAAGTAAGGTGCAGAAATATTCTATTGAATCATGTTCTGTTGAACAAAAATCAAAGACCGAAACTGGTTTTTTTCACAGTTGATCGCTAATCACGTATAGGTTCGTTACTGAATTTACGCGGAAACGATGCAAAACCATGTGGGCACTTGAACTTGATTTTTTTTTTTTTTTTTTTAAATGAAAGTATTGATTGCGTACGTCAAAATTAGCAAGTCCATACATGGACATTTTTTTAAAATGTCATCATGCAAGCGCCGCTCTTACCGTTGTCGCTGCTCTGAGTGATAACGTTATGTGTAAAATAACTTCATGATGTTGAATAGGGGGGCTAGGCAATTCAAGCTCACCAATCCAATTACTTCCATCGAATGATTTATAGTTGAAGTACTGTACACACGGACTTTGAGGAATATCAAAATATTGCTGTAGTTTTGCAACATGAAATATCTTGAGTAAAAGCAAAACTGTCAAAACTAAATTATAAAATTGCATTTTTTTCGAGAATGGCACAAATTTTTGTTTTTGAAATAGAGTTTTTCATATTATGCACACATTGGTTTCTCGTCAAATGAAAACTAATTTAATCTACACTTTTTCATTGTTCCAAAAATAAAATGTACACTACAAATTTAATTTATATTTTCAGCAACACAGTATATATGATGTCTCAAAGAAAGTTGAAACTTCAATAAAATATGAATCTGAAGTTTTCTATAGAATTCCGTTGTGGTTTTGTATTGATTGCGTCGCAATCATTTAATTTCTCAGAAACAATGAAACGATGACGGAGTTCTTTTTCAAGTCACAATTTGATTTGTAATGATGGCATACGATGTGCATTTTTGTCTACTGAGCGGTATTATTATCATTAATACACATAAAACTATTCAATACTATTTAAATGTATTGGTTTTCTTAACATATTGTGTGTTTGTTGACAAGCAAATGAATGGTCGGAAAAACCATTGGTACTAGTGTACAAGCAATATTCGTCCCAAACTTGTTATGTTGTCTTATAGTATGTCTGCTTTTCTGATTTCGCTAACTGGTATTACAACACAAATATTAATGTACTTGATAATACAGTTTAAGACTTGTTTTATTCGAAATTGAATAAATATTTATGACAACATGCATTTTAGGGTCCAAAATCGTCACTGAATGTGAGTGTGTAATGTGAATATATATTAGTAACAATAATGTAATTTTCATAAGGCATTGTTGATATTAGATAGACTGGCCAATGCAAGTATTTAAAAATCATTTTTTGTAGATCATGAACCCCGAAACGTACATTTCTACACATACCTAAGTCGGGTAAGTGATTTTTGTTCGACAGTGATTGAATATATTTTTTATAAACCGTTAATTTGTCACTTTGGTTTTAGCCATCAATATCAGTTTTTAGTTTATTTTATATTATCTGGATGAATAAAAAAATATTGTTGAATCAAATTCGATAAGAAATAGTGCACATTTGAAAAGCTGTCAAATCAATAAGAAAATCCAATTAATTTTAAAATATAAAATTATTCCTTTATTTGAAATAAATCCAGCATTTTTTTTTTTTTTTTCAATTTTAGTTGATTGGTAATTCTTCTGTTTTTAAATTCATTTTCATGTGAACGAAATATGGTCTTAAATAACAAAAAATGGAAAACGGTAAAAATTATATAATAACACATATAATTTTCTACCAATAAATAAATTTTTTAAACTTATGGAATCACAAAATGTTTCGTACAATGAAGGGACATCAACATTTTTCATATCAAAATCGATTTTGGGTTCATTGACCCGAATATTAATATGAACATGTGGACGATAAAATTTATTTGGCAAAGTCATTTAAAATTTGTACCAATGTGTACAAAATGATAATGTGAAAATCGCGATTTCTTTTGAATCATTTTCATTACTGTACTTAGCATTTATATTATTCAAATTCTAATCGCATCTACAAACTATATATTTTCGGCTTGGTATTACATTTAACAGTACATTCTATTACTACATTGGCTACGAACGTTCTGAAAGATTTCCCTTTGATGTGGAAGTGTTGCAAGATGTATCTCTTTTTTTTTCTCACATCACATACATTAATTCATGTTATTTAAATTGCAACATGCGATGGACCTGTCTATATATGACTGCTTTATCTTGTATAGCTACTGATAACACTTGGTTCAAACGAAGTAACATCGTTCAATGTTTGTGAGAGTCGCTTGGCTCTCGGTGGAGGAACCGGTGCATCAAATGCGGGTGGTGGATAAGTTGGAGAAACAATAGAAACTGGTTTTGATACAGACATATTAGCCGATGGCGTTTTTTGATGTTGTTGATTCCAATGCATGATTTGTTTAACACGATTTCCGTGATAGTGATACAAATAAATGGCAAATAGTAAGCAGAGCACAACAAGAAGAGCTGATAATATAATAACGATAGCTCCCAAATAACGAGATGATTGATCGTATACTGGCTCCTCGAATGTTTCCACTTCGGTTGGTGGTGTAGTCTTTCTGATATCGGCAGTTGGTTTTGTTTTTGTTCCTGGACGAATTGGACGCAAGGGTGGAGCAGCGGCTTTTTCGCCTGCAAAATGAAAAAAATATCGTAAGTCTATAGAATTTTAATTGAATATAATAAGATTTGATCTTTGGCTCACCAATAGAAACATCACTACATGCACGGAATTCTTCTTGAGGTCCACAACCTACTGCACCGGTACCTGTGTGGATATTCAATTCGAAATTAGATAGAGAAAATAAATAGATTATTTTTTTTTTAATTTTCCGGATCAAATTGATTTATTCATTTTAAATGGTTAAAAAGAAGTACCATCTTCACACATTCCCCAATTATTTCCTGCCACGTAGCGCCATTGTAGTACGCAATTTCCACACTCGAGACCTGGTAAAAAAACCATTTTATTCATCATTTTTTTCCTAATTACAACCAATTCTCACCTGGAGGAAGACGAGCTTTAATGTCATAAATGCGGCTCCCATTTCTTGGATAGAATCGTGTAGACAAATCGTTTGGTTGTGGAATACTTGGAGTGCCACCCAATAGTTGAAGAAGGTTCTTATCTAAACATGATTGTTGAGCGTGAAGCTCAGGGCATATACGGAATTCAAAGTACCTGTAAAATTTGAAATATTTGATTAGTTAAACTGTAATATTGAAACAGTACAGATGTTTGAATTTACCCCATGTGACTCGCCGTGAGTTCAACTCTAATTGTAATATCAGATCCAGGATTATATTTCCTTACAATGACTCCCTGACCATATTTTCCTCCGTATTCATTTGGTCTAGGTTGTGGCATATCTAAAAAATTACTTTTTTAGCATTTTTTTAAATTTAAAATGCGAACAAAAAATAAACTACCCCATGCATCACCGCATTCACCACATTTTCCTCCGTTACGTTGTTGCCGCGCATAGCCACCGCAATATAATTCATGATCTATCCACGTAATTAATTAACAGGAAAAATCATTTTTTTATTAAAGTTTCCGTTTAAATTAATCAAAAATGTGTTTATTTTATTTCGGTTGATAGAAAAGACTTGAAACTCACCATTATAGTTTGGCGGTGTTTGAAATCCATATCGGAAAGCTGATGACCGGCTGGGAGGCTCAATAAGACGACCGTGACCATTGCACACGTCAATCGCGTGCATCAATACACCAATCATGAATATGAATTGCCAATTATGTGCGAATTTCGCGCACAAATTGTCTGATTGCTGACTCCCTTTGTAATTTTTGTACGCTTTACGATGCATTTTCAATTCAGTGAATATGTTGTTAGATGTTCGTGTTGGTAATCGAGTCTGTTAAAAAAAAAGAAAAACAAAATATGCATTGAAATAAACTGGTGAGAACTGGCACAAAATTTACATTATAAATAATAGAAGCAAGCATTTGATGATAATAAACCATTGAATTTGGGCCAATCATGTAATGTCTTAGTGATTGTTGCAGTAGAAGTATTTTTTCAAAAGTAATTCTTAATTCGGTTTAGTTAGTTAGTTGACCGAAAATCGGAACCACTTAAAAATACGAATTCATATCTGTTTTCAATAATCTTTTGTTTTTTTTTTATTTATTTTTTCCAACTTCTTGAAGTTTGAATTCAAAGTCGTTCAAATGATAATGGTGAGTTGGTCTTGAAATCGAAAAAAAAAACTTAAATAAATTATTTCGTATTTATTGTTATGATCGAAAATTATTTAATGCTTTAAAAAAAAAACAATAAAACATTTTCAGAAATGATGTGGAATTTCCAATACGTCGTCGATTAATGAGAACATTTTAGCATTACTCTTCATTCTTTTCTTTCTCATGCATTGTTTTTACGTTTTTGGTGCTGAGAGAAATCCAGTGAGACTTTTATTTTGATTCATAACGTTATATATTTTATATATAACGAAACCGTTTGTCTTCCAAAGTGAAATTGTATTTGAAAGCGAGTTCAAACAATGATTGTTGTTTTAGTGAAATAAAACTCAACGACCTACGCATTTCTTACGCTCTTATTATAATAATACAATACATAAATCGGTTATTCATCTTCACAATGTTCGCAATTTTTATGTGAGTATATGAAAGATATAGTTTACTTTCAATTCAATTAAGGAGTGATTCAATATGGTTTTAAATGTTTTTCAGATAAAATTATTGGATAAGTGGCATTTTAAATTGTAATTGTAACAAAACAACTGTTTGTCAATATTGCTCGTAAGAATAAGAAAATTTGTCAATTAATTACTTAAATAATCAACTTATACCTATAGAATAATAATAGTTCTTATAAAATATAAAAGATAACAGTGATTCTAAATTAGAATTTCTAATTATGAATTGGTATGCTGATTTATATATCAAGAGGAAAATTCAAAATTTTACAATAAAACATCTGAAGTATTCATATATATATATATGATATATTGAAAAACACTTTTGATTGTTCAAGACAATTTTCTGCAAGATGTTATGAGGCTAGTGAAAATATTTAAATGTATTTTTTTGAGTTCTTTTAGTAGTTGTTCTGCCAAGATGATTCCATTTTAAACCATTACAAAGAAAGAAAATTTCACTGTACCCATTCCGGCCGATAATGTATAGAAATTGAAACAAAAATTGAAAATAGCTTAAAATTGAAAAATAGCCTGCGATGCGTTTCAGCACTTAGTGAAGCGTTTACAGATAGATCAACTCAATTCATACAATTATTTCCTCACATTTTTTTTTGTTCACACGAATAGTTTTCTTTACTTTGTTTTGTTTGATGTTCAAAGAATAAGTATTGTAATTAAAATGTTGTAAAAGAAAACACCGAATTGCTGGAAGCTCTCCATATAAGTACTATTTTGATATATGCTTATGTGAGAAACCAAGTGCGTAAGTATTATTTATTTGAGGTAATTAGGTTTTATTGTTGAATTCATCATAGAAATCTTCAAACACGTTTTTTTAGATTATGAAGTGATCGGCAATATGACCTGCAGATGAACAAATGCCAAACCACGAGCAATAAATTGATCTCACTTTATATAAACGTAATGAAAATTTAGTTATTCCAATTGATTTATCTGCAATTTATTGCAAAAAATGCGTACTCTTTCTACACCTTCCACAATAGCTAGAGGCTAGGGAAATATAAATTGAAATCTAATCGTCCATAAAAAATTTGTTTTGATTCCGATTTCCATGTGATATGTGACGGATGCACTTGCTTCATACTAGTTTCATACTCTTTGTTTATCGAACATAATTACAACTTTCATTTCGGTCAACTGTCAAATGAAGCTGTTATTCGGTAAAAATTCATAATCACAGTGTGATGAATTGCCAAAATTTCCGTAAAATCCACATTTTTATATCATCTACTTTCAATCCCATATTGTTATTGTCATAAGAAATCCATTTTAAACTGAGCTAATCGTAGAAAGTGAATGACTTCACCTGAATTAAAAATAAAATATAAGTTACTAGAATTGCAGTTAGCAGTTAATTGTGTTGTTAGGATGCGATAAAAAAAATAATTGATGAAGAAAAAATTGATACATTTTCCATTCAGTTCCGTGATGGAACGGAATCTCTGGTCATTTTACTGTCTATGTTTGTCCCTGTCTGTATCTTATACGGAACCTTTAATTATTGTGCTCTCTTGTAATCTATCATCAGAGCATGTTCCAAGTTTTATATACACATTACAAATAAGTTTTTATATAATTTTAAATCAACTGAGCGCATCAAAACCAAGTGTAATGCTTAGCTGCGATTGTCTGAATGTCATCAGCATGAATGATTGAGTTCGCCGTTCACACACTATCGCTTTCTATAAGCATCGAACCTTCAATCTAGCGTCCATAAATTAACACAACTAACGGTGTTAAATTGAAATACGAGTAAAGCCAAAGCCATTTCATTCACTGCTGATTGCGAATACTCTACATAAACTCTATCAATGGCTTTAACATTCAACAGTCATAATATTAATATGACTATCGCTGACTAGCAGTTCAATGCGATTTGGATTGAGTACTAATATTAATACATTGTGTATATGATCAATGACCGCTTTACAGTGCCCAATTAAAATTCATTTCTCAAATGGAATTTTCTCTCCCTTTGCTATACGTACTGAAAATAGTGTTTATTAGCGCAACAATTAATTATTATCGATGTTGGAATGGAAACACAAAATGTGAATACTAGTTTTCCAGCGCAAAAATTCGATCTCTAGCCTCCAAAGTTTTTTTCTCATATTTGAGTAACAGCAAGTCAATCGTATTCATTTCTGTCAAACACATTAATTTACTCGTTTTGGTACTGTTTTCGAACAAATTTGTAATGTTTATGGAAACACTTGATTGCCTGAATATGAAGAAAAACTCGATTAATTTTTTTTTCATTAAAGGAATTTTCTTATTTTTTCAATAATTAGTTTCTGAAAAGTATGATCAGTCATTGATCTGAAATCTATATATCTAAATTTTTATTATTATTCTTTTAACTGATACATATTTTTATTTCACTTGATTGTTTTATGTGAAAATAAGCTATTATATATAGTATAAAACTCCCATACTAATGAAGAATATGTATGATTATTTGTTTGAAACAATAATTATCTGATAATGAATACTTGGAATACGTTCATACCATGCATAAATGATCCGGATGATATGGTCATGACTGAACATGACTTTTTAGTTAGGATAATACTATACTTTGATTGACCCAAACATTATTGAAATTTATTATAAGGAGTCGATTTCAGTGTATGTTCTATCTTAAAGTATGAGAGCAAAAGTCCAATCCAATTGCTAAAGTTTTCTCACAAATGAAATCATTCAAAGACAATAGCTTCCGATCTTTGCTCATTTACATGATCATTGCTCATACAAAATAAAACATAAGCTATTATTACTTGATATTCACACGTTATTAAACCACAATAGTTGCATACTTCATCGACATATAGTGGTGTTCAATGAACCACTGCTCGATTTAGTAAGTTATACTCGTAGTAGAAAAAATGCGCAATAAAAACATCATCGAATCATTTCATTTCACGCATCTGGAATGCCAATAAAAATCCAAACAAATATATATGTTTGTTTTTTTTTTTAAATATTTCAGTATTTTTACAACGTCTCGTCGCTTCACAAAAAGGGAAAGTGATTTCTCGTTTTTTACCTTTCTTCAGTTGTTGACGACCAAATGCGAATTGTTTAAGTTTAATCACGTTTCATTGGCGCACGTTTGAAAGTTCAATGGTTCATAAAAGACGTTTAATGAGAATTTAAAAGCAAAACGTCTGCAAAAAAAATATATTGTAAATTCGGGATTTGATTTTTTGTGTGTATAAAAAATCGACCAGAATATTTTCCCGTGATTGTTTTATTATTTTTTAAAACTTGATTTACTATTGTGACATTGTGGTAATGCTTTTTTTGCAAACTCATGATTGCATTCAATGTACTCGAACCGATCAAATCATCTATAAACTAAATTCCGTATCGACAAATATTTATGTAACTAATTTAATTGATTTCTACCAAGTCACCAATTTTTTGATGGCTCAAAAATAATGAATGCGTGATGTCTTTGTGACGCTGTCAATTTGCGTCGCATTGTGTATGCTCACCGAATGGTAACAAATATGATTAGTTTCTTGGTCATGCCATAGATGGAAAGAGAGAAACGTTTAATGTTATCACGATTGCCCCAAGTAATGTCATAATTTTCAATGGAAAAAATAACATGCAGAATAATTTTAATTTTTTTACAATGTGACACCAAATTCCAGGTGGAAAATTCAGCAAGAAAACGATACTTTATCGATGCACGTTTTCGATCATTTTTTAATAATCACGAATGCAAGAGCATCAATATATGAATGGAAATTCTATTGTCAGTACATTCACTTCGGCGGAATACATGAATTCTTGCTTTATCGAAGGTATCACAAACAATGCATGTGATGCAATCGAAAATCAATTGTACAAAGTTTCGAAATCATAAATTCATCGAAATATTCATGATACACAGTATATCTATAAATATTTGCCTGGCTTTGGATAGTATACAAATTCAGTCGCTTCTCTTGCATGAAATAAATCCATATGTATTATCCAAACATTACATCCTTATTCAACATCACATTTTTACCTGAAAAACGTGCAACATTCGGCTAAATGTATAGAATAAGTTTAAAATAAACCGCGTCCAAAATAGAGTGTACAACTGTACACTGTACACAATGAACTCATAGTCAGGGATTAAGTACAATTGAATAGTAGTATATCTTTAATGTACTTAA